TCCCCACCTCACAGACCTGCTGCACCACCACACCCCTTCCCCCTACCTCACAGACCTGCTGCACACCACCACACCCCTTCCCCACCCCTCACAGACCTGCTGCACACCACACCCCTTCCCCACCTCACAGACCTGCTGCACCACCACACCCCTTCCCCACCTCACAGACCTGCTGCACCACCACACCCCTTCCCCTACCTCACAGACCTGCTGCACCACCACCACCCCTTCCCCCTACCTCACAGACCTGCTGCACCACCACACCCCTTCCCCACCTCACAGACCTGCTGCACCACCACACCCCTTCCCCCCCTCACAGACCTGCTGCACCACCACACCCCTTCCCCACCTCACAGACCTGCTGCACCACCACACCCCTTCCCCACCTCACAGACCTGCTGCACCACCACACACCCTTTCCCCACCTCACAGGACCTGCTGCACCACACACCCCTTCCCCACCTCACAGACCTGCTGCACCACCACACCCCTTCCCACCTACTACAGACCTGCTGCAGCACCACACCCCCTCCCCCCTACCTCACAGACCTGCCTGCAGCACCACACCCCTTCCCCCCTACCTCACAGACCTGCTGCACACCACCCCCTTCCCCCTACCTCACAGGACCTGCTGCACCACCCACACCCCTTCCCAACCCAAGACCTGCTGCCACCACACCCTTCCCCACCTCACAGACCTGCTGCCACCACCACAACCCCTCCCCCACACCTCACAGACCTGCTGCACCACCACACCCCCCCACCTACCTCACAGACCTGCTGCACCACCACACCCCTTCCCCACCTCACAGACCTGCTGCACCACCACACCCCTTCCCCACCTCACAGACCTGCTGCAGCACCACACCCCTTCCTCCTACCTCACAGACCTGCTGCACCACCACACCCCTTCCCGCTGCCTCCGCTCATCAGAAGCCAACCTCCTATCCATCCCCACCCGCACCAAGCACCGGACCTGGGGGGACAGAGCCTTCTCCGTCGCTGCCCCCTCCCTCTGGAACTCACTCCCGCAACCCATCAGAGACCGCACTGACCTCACCACCTTCAAAACACTCACAAAAACTCACCTCTTCAATCTGGCTTTTAATGTGTGATTGTTTTTGTATTATTTGACTTTAACTTTAACTATATATTTATTTGTTGTTCCTTTCTTTTCTTTTCACTATATCTGTAAAGCGTCTTTGAGCACCTGTAAAAGCGCTAACAAAATAAATCGTATTATTATTATTATTGTTGTTGTAGTAGTAATAGTTGTAGTAGTAGTTGTTGTTGTAGTAGTAGTTGTTGTAGAAGTATTAGTAGTACCGGTAGTAGTTGTAGTAGTACTAGTAGTCGTTGTAAAAGTGACTAACTAAACGCTTATCATTTTGAACTCGTGGTTTATGTTAAATACAGCTTTATTATATGGAGGCTTGGTGTGACTCTGAGACCCCAGCAGCAGTGTGTATGTATTGATTTTAATATTTGGTGTTCTAGGGGAGATCTATCACCTGATGGAGCAGAGGAAGGTGTCGGTGGAGGAGCTGGACTCAGTTCCACTGGACCACGTGTGAGTACTTACACTGGTTATCATGAATTTACAGGAAGAGAAATCTCAATATTCTGTGCTGTTTTACTAAATCAACCACTTTCAATCTCGTAGAATATTACGTTTTTCAGAGTATTTCACCACGTCTGTTTTTAGCAGTGTGCAGTATATACACTGAACAAAAATATAAACGCAACACTTTTGTTTTTGCTCCCATTCTTCATGAGATGAACTCAAAGATCTAAAACATTTTCTATTTACACAAAATAACCATTTCTCTCAAATATTGTTCACAAATCTGAAAGAATCTGTGATAGTGAGCACTTCTCCTTTGCCGAGATAATCCATCCCACCTCACAGGTGTGGCATATCAAGATGCTGATTAGACAGCATGATTATTGCACAGGTGTGCCTTAGGCTGGCCATAATAAAAGGCCACTCTGAAACGTGCATTTTTGCTTTATTGGGGGGGTCTGGGGGGGTCTGAAAACCAGTCAGTATCTGGTGTGAGGGGTAGGGTTAGGGTTAGGGTAATGTTGTGAATCGAGTGGCCCATGGTGGTGGTGGGGTTATGGTATGGGCAGGCGTATGTTATGGACGACGAACACAGGCCACTCAATTCACAACCTTACCCTACCCCTAACCCTACTCACACCAGATACTGACTGGTTTTCGGACCCCCCCAGACCCCCCCAATAAAGCAAAACTGCACGTTTCAGAGTGGCCTTTTATTGTGGCCAGCCTAAGGCACACCTGTGCAATAATCATGCTGTCTAATCAGCATCTTGATATGCCACACCTGTGAGGTGGGATGGATTATCTCGGCAAAGGAGAAGTGCTCACAATCACAGATCTTTTCAGATTTGTGAACAATATTAAGAGAGAAATGGTTATTTTGTGTTTATAGAAAATGTTTTAGATCTTTGAGTTCATCTCATGAAGAATGGGAGCAAAAACAAAAGTGTTGCGTTTTTATTTTTGTTCAGTGTATGTATACATGTATTTAGTATATATAAAATACTGTGTTTGCAGGCTGGGTGAGGCTGGAGACGCGGCGCTGCTGAGGCACGAGGGCCGAGGATCTGAAGGATTTCTGGAGCACATTTTCAAACACGCTGCGAAAGAACTGTTCGGTCTGGAGGTTCAGGAGATCACGTACAAGTCTCTGAGGTGAGGCACACTAGAGAAATGTAGATCCTTAGATAGGGAGGAAGAGCACCAAGAAGTAGTCTTATATATCAGGATGTTTGAGTCTATAGTCAGGGAAGACCATCCAACACGAGCATATAGGTTGCAGTGGTGCGTCAATTACACAGCAGTCTGAGACTCTTCTCTTCCTCGTTGGTCTTCCAGGAACAGGGACTTCCAGGAGGTGACTCTGGAGCGTGACGGGGAAACTTTGCTGCAGTTTGCGGCGGTTTATGGCTTCAGGAACATCCAGACTCTGGTTCACCGCATGAGGAAAGGCCGCGTTCCCTACCAGCTGGTGGAGGTGCTTTCCTGCCCCGGAGGTAACCACACAACCCCCTACAGGACTTTAGAATGAAAGGATTATCCCACCAGATCGAGCCTCAAACACTACCTTTAAGGGTCTAGAAAATACTGGTGTCCTTCAGATTAAAGCACATATATACAGCACTTAATGTTTTTTAAGTAAAAAGCTAATGTTGGGCTATAAAGGAACTACAGCACGGTCACATGACTTCACGTCACCACCGCTAAGCTAAAGGTGGCTAATGTTGGGATATAAAGGAACTACAGCACGGTCACATGACTTCACGTCACCACCGCTAAGCTAAAGGAGGCTAATGTTGGGCTATAAAGGAACTACAGCACGGACACATGACTTCACCACCGCTAAGCTAAAGGTGGCTAATGTTGGGCTATAAAGGAACTACAGCACGGTCACATGACTTCACGTCACCACCGCTAAGCTAAAGGAGGCTAATGTTGGGCTATAAAGGAACTACAGCACGGTCACATGACTTCACGTCACCACCGCTAAGCTAAAGGAGGCTAATGTTGGGCTATAAAGGAACTACAGCACGGTCACATGACTTCACGTCACCACCACTAAGCTAAAGGAGGCTAATGTTGGGCTATAAAGGAACTATAGCACGGTCACATGACTTCACGTCACCACCGCTAAGCTAAAGGAGGCTAATGTTGGGCTATAAAGGAACTACAGCACGGACACATGACTTCACGTCACCACCGCTAAGCTAAAGGTGGCTAATGTTGGGCTATAAAGGAACTACAGCACGGTCACATGACTTCACGTCACCACCGCTAAGCTAAAGGTGGCTAATGTTGGGCTATAAAGGAACTACAGTACGGTCACATGACTTCACGTCACCACCGCTAAGCTAAAGGTGGCTAATGTTGGGCTATAAAGGAACTACAGCACGGTCACATGACTTCACGTCACCACCGCTAAGCTAAAGGAGGCTAATGTTGGGCTATAAAGGAACTACAGCACGGTCACATGACTTCACGTCACCACTGCTAAGCTAAAGGAGGCTAATGTTGGGCTATAAAGGAACTACAGCACGGTCACATGACTTCACGTCACCACCGCTAAGCTAAAGGTGGCTAATGTTGGGCTATAAAGGAACTACAGCACGGTCACATGACTTCACGTCACCACCGCTAAGCTAAAGGTGGCTAATGTTGGGCTATAAAGGAACTACAGCACGGTCACATGACTTCACGTCACCACCGCTAAGCTAAAGGAGGCTAATGTTGGGCTATAAAGGAACTACAGCACGGTCACATGACTTCACGTCACCACCGCTAAGCTAAAGGAGGCTAATGTTGGGCTATAAAGGAACTATAGCACGGTCACATGACTTCACGTCACCACCGCTAAGCTAAAGGAGGCTAATGTTGGGCTATAAAGGAACTACAGCACGGACACATGACTTCACGTCACCACCGCTAAGCTAAAGGTGGCTAATGTTGGGCTATAAAGGAACTACAGCACGGTCACATGACTTCACGTCACCACCGCTAAGCTAAAGGTGGCTAATGTTGGGCTATAAAGGAACTACAGCACGGTCACATGACTTCACGTCACCACCGCTAAGCTAAAGGTGGCTAATGTTGGGCTATAAAGGAACTACAGCACGGTCACATGACTTCACGTCACCACCGCTAAGCTAAAGGAGGCTAATGTTGGGCTATAAAGGAACTACAGCACGGTCACATGACTTCACGTCACCACTGCTAAGCTAAAGGAGGCTAATGTTGGGCTATAAAGGAACTACAGCACGGTCACATGACTTCACGTCACCACCGCTAAGCTAAAGGTGGCTAATGTTGGGCTATAAAGGAACTACAGCACGGTCACATGACTTCACGTCACCACCGCTAAGCTAAAGGTGGCTAATGTTGGGCTATAAAGGAACTACAGCACGGTCACATGACTTCACGTCACCACCGCTAAGCTAAAGGAGGCTAATGTTGGGCTATAAAGGAACTACAGCACGGTCACATGACTTCACGTCACCCACTGCTAAGCTAAAGGAGGCTAATGTTGGGCTATAAAGGAACTACAGCACGGTCACATGACTTCACGTCACCACCGCTAAGCTAAAGGTGGCTAATGTTGGGCTATAAAGGAACTACAGCACGGTCACATGACTTCACGTCACCACCGCTAAGCTAAAGGAGGCTAATGATGAGGTTTAGTCGTCTTATTTAGATACTTGTTAGAAACTTTCTTCTGAAAAATGTCAAACTGTGTTTTTAAAGCATCTTTTTATGTACATTTAAACACACAAACAAACACTAAATCACCCCCTCTTTTGCTGCAGGGTGTCTGAGCGGCCGGGGTCAGGCTGAGAGTGATGGGGGGGGCCGTGTGGATAAAGCTCTGGTGCAGCAGATGGAGGACGCCTACAGCAGCCTGCCGGTCCGCCTGCCCGAGCTGAACCCCGTCCTGCAGACTCTGTACCGGGACTGGCTGCAGGGCCACGACTCGACACACACACACACACTGCTTCACACACACTACAGCAGCCAGACACACACACAACCCCCACACATGCAGTGGTGAGGAGGAGGAGGAAGATGGACCATGTTATCATGAAGAACAGTGTCGGAGCAGGAAGCAGTTCCTCCGTTAGGACACTAGGGGGAGACGTATGTGTTTAAAAAAACAGGGAGGATTGAACTGTGCCAAAACCTGAGGAGGAACGAGGGTCCGGAGAACCAGAAAATACTCTTAGAGAAGATCAATGAGGTGCAGGAGGGAAGAGGGGGTACATTTACAGAGCAATAAACAGCTGAGGCGTTCAGGGCCGGACGATATGGATCACAGCTGAACAATTAGTTGGCATTTAACGAAAAATGCAATTTGGACTAGTTTCATATCCACCTTTCAGGATGCACAATGTGTGTTAAAGGCTAAATATGTGTACAAATGTAATTGAAGTATTGTGGGGCTGCGCCATGATACATTTAATATACTTTCCAACCTAAAAAATGACCACTCCTCAATTGCAGTATCAGTCAAATCGTGCGGCTTTAACATTTATTATATCAAATATCACTATTCTTTTTTGACCAAATAGCTCGATGCCAGAATATAAACATGTTTACACAATTAGATTAAAGCAAAAACATCAATCATGTGGATAAAATGACTTTAAAGACAATAAACAAATGACTGTAAAGTAAACAAGAGACGTGTTATTTTAAATGACAGGATATGGATCTATATTGCCCGGCCCACAAATGATGGATGCTGAAAGATAATAACTATGCAACAGAGTGATGCTCATCTCACCGTCTCTCAAACATCCGTCCACACAGAATACGAGGCATTATAGTTGTTGTGAAATGGACTCCATTCTCACTGTTTTCATTCCACAAACGAGTGTTTTTTTAAGTTATTTGTTTCTGTGTTTTTGTCCTTTTTTGTTTTACAGAGATCAAACGTTTAAAGCACTAAAGTGTTCTGACAAACCAAGAGTCTGTGGATCCTTATTGTTTACGTGTGTGCTGCTGGTTACTTATGAAAGTCCCTAAGGTCTTGAAATCCAGCTCTGGAGATCCTCCAGCATGTTCTTCTTTAATGCTGTGAATGCCACAAAAGAAATTCCAGTGATTGTGTATTTGAAAAGTGTTTTATATAATAATAATAATCCTTACATTTATTATAGCGCTTTTTCAATGACTCAAAGCGCTTTACATATACACACATTACACATATATCATACATGCAATGGTCAGATACTGTGGACAATACCCACAGGAGCAAGTTCAGGTGAAGTGTCTTGCCCAAGGACACACCGGCTTTACAGACGCAGCAGCGGCGGGTTTCACCCCTTGATCTGATGATCATTGCACAGCGCACTGCGCCACACCGTCCATCTTCACGCCTCGAGGTCATCGAGGCGCTTTTACAAGTACACATTGGTATCATACATGTACTGTGGACAATACCCACAGGAGCAAATCCGGGTGAAGTGTCTATATATATCTGAAAACTGAGTACAAGGCTCAAAACGGTAAGAAATCAGTGAGCAAAATGTTATTTTTCTGTCTTAAATAAACCTTCGATGGGGCTTCAAGGGTTAAGTCAGGGTTGCCAACTTTGGGCACCTGGCTGGAGTGAGATTTTGATATCATGGGTTTAATTACACGTATGCACACTAAATGACTGCTATCGCGTCCGTAGCGGGACCGTACCATATATATATATATATATATATATATAGGATATATATATATATATATATATATATATATACAAATACACAATATTGGACACAGACTATAAAGGGCACAAAGTTTCATTCACTAATGAAAGTCAAACACATGTTTGTTTCCACTGTTTTATTGTGACTCTATTTTGGCCTAGATGAACAATAAGCAGCAGACTTTGACTTGTTTATCATTTCTACTGGTGGTTGGTATTTGAAGCAGCATGGTTCAATCTGACTTCCTTTGATGCACATAATGGATGACAGTGTCCCATCAAGTGCAAGTCTGTTTCGACACTCTGTTTTGTTCAGTCCAATTACTGAGAAGACTCGTTCTGCATCCGCATTAGAGTGAGGTAGGCAGAGGACAAGTATCCACCTTCCCAAGTCTGGGGAACTGTTCTTTACCAGTTACTCGGCTCTTCTGCGTAGTCAAGTGTGCCCGCACCATGTCCATACGATGGGATTGTTCTTCCTCTCCAACACTCACCAGGGCACCTTTCCAGACCATGTCAGGGATATCCGTTTCCTCCAGCATTTGGTACTCCAGGAACTCATCCGAAATCCTGTCCTGTTCCCTTGGGTCCTCAAAAGGAAGAAGGTGTTTGTATCTGGGCAAAGACAATTGCAACAACATTATTTATAATAGAAACAAATATTCAGACATTTATTTTGCCATTAGATTATTGAATTCTGTAAATAAATATACATAAAACAATAACCAATTCTCTATCCAGATAGAAATAAATAATCCTTTACAATAACAGAATCTCCCAATGTAATATCTAAGCAAGCTGTATTTGTTCACCCATCTCAACTGCTTGTAAAGCCTGTCAACATCACCATTTATCTTTAATTAACTTCTCACGTTGTTTAAATGCAGTAATGGTAAAGTGAAAATAAGGGTTCAGTAATTGTACCTTTGGACAAAGTAGAGCACATCATCCACATGGGAGTTTTGTCTCTGCCTGAAGTCCACTAACTCAGCATGTGGCAGCAGGGGGTCATTGAGAGGTAGCTTCTTCAGTGCATATTCAGTAGACCGAAGCAGGAAGCCTCTTGCTGCCTTGTTGAATTTGGTGACATCACCTGAGGGAATCTCACATGCAGCCTTATCAGTGTGGACTTTGTAGTCAGTCCAATGCCAAGCTGGGTGTCTGAAAGGAAAAAAAGACTACCATGCATTATTTTGCCCATACTATATACCTGTAGATTATTTCAGTTGTCATAAAAGGGTCAAATAATATAGGCTATAACAGTCAATTGTATTCACCTGGCAGTTGGTTTTCTTGATCCTGAAGATCAACTCTCCAAGCTTGTTGTTCTGAAAGCTGCAGGCTTCAAGAATTTGGACATTAGCTTTCGGATGAATGCCCTCACCTGAAATACAGAAAATATACAACCCACCCATCCATGAACATTAAGATAAGAATCAATTATACTATTTGACATTACCATTACACTAACTCAAACAGTCAAATGATGTACCTGCCCATGGAGGAGATAGATGCATGGGTGCTGCCTCTGGAACAACAGATTAAACTGGCAGAAGTGCCTGGTAGAAGAGGAGATGAACCGGTCAATGGATCCTCAAATAAGGCACGGAGCCGCAGACACCTGGCTTGCTTTTCGTCTAAAAGACAAAAACGTTCAAAAATAATAAATAGAAAATTGTAGTTTTGCATTTTTCCTCAATAATGAATATGGGACTACAAACCAGTGGATCTGAAGTAGCTTGTCACGGCCTTGTCGACACGGAGTATGCGGTTGACAGCCAGATCCAAACTGAGCCACCTAATGCTAAAATGCTGAAGTACCTCCATGTACGTGGCGTCACAAAACACACAGAATTCGGAATAGAACAAAATATGTATTTTAGATTGGCCCTTCAAACTATTTCTGAATCAATGCTTTTGAGTAGAATAAATGTGTTCTGTGAGGATAACTTGCCATGAAGCATGTTCTTTCTCTTGGTGCTGGATTTAAACCAGTAGGCAAGATCGACGCAGAAATCTTCGACTTCAAAGCCCGACATCTGGAGGGTTAGCAAAATAAATGTGTTAGTGTTAATACTTTTACAATATGTACAAAGTGGCCATCCCAGTAAAAATGAAAAAAATACAGTTGTGACTGTCAAGTCATTACCTCGGAGTACACCAAGCCACCAGCGTGTGCATTATTGTGCACAATGTGGCAGGGACAGCCAAGAACGTAGATAGATCAACCTTCCTGAATTCTCCCACATCACTCCGCTCCTCCGCTCCCTTCACTGGCTTCCGGTAACTGCTAGAATCCACTTCAAGACACTGGTACTTGCGTACCATGCTGCGAATGGATCTGGCCCTTCCTACATCCAGGACATGGTTAAACCGTACACCCCAGCACGTGCACTACGCTCTGCATCAGCCAAACGACTCGCTGCGCCCTCGCTGCGAGGGGGACCCAAGTTCCCATCAGCAGAAACACGTGGGTTTACTGTCCTGGCTCCAAGATGGTGGAATGAGCTCCCCATTGACATCAGGACGGCAGATAGCTTGCACATCTTCCGGCGCAGACTGAAAACTCATCTCTTTCGACTCCACTTCGAGCGATAGAACTATTAACAAAGCACTTTTATACTAATAAAGGACTGGCTTACCTAAAGCCAGTTGAGTAGCACTTGAAATGTTTGGCTCTATGAAACCTGATGTACTTTATGATTCTGTTTTCTTCAAGGTTGTGTCTTCCTGGTCGAATGTACTTATTGTAAGTCGCTTTGGATAAAAGCGTCAGCTAAATGTAATGTAATGTAATGTAGATGGATTTTGGTCCAGGACCCTGCTCTTAATCGAATTCCTGGCTCCCAGATTGACACTAGCATTGCCAACTGCAAGGGCCACGCAGTTGGCCCATGGGATACTGTGGCCTTCCAGCACCTCATTCATTTAGTTGAATATGGCCTCAGCAGTGCCACAGCTGGTTCCTGATGTCAGACCCATGTCAAGAAATCGTTGAATCACACCTTGTGAACTCCAAATGTTGACAGTCAGTGGATTCAACTTCTCTCTGCCTGTGACGACACAAATGTATTCAACACTTACTTACTTAATTCTGTGTGACCCATGGTCAACATGAACACACTTACCAGTATCATTGGACCCATCAGTGGCCAAAGAGAAGGGATGATCACATCGATTTTTCACAAGCTCATCCATCAAATAGGGGGCTACACACTTGTTTATGATGGCTGTTGTTTTTGTCCTGGCTGAGGAATACTTTTGGGCTATCTTGGAATCAGGGAAACACTCCTTGAACAGCGGACTCAGGTGATCCGAAAAAGCCAATGGGATGTTGTGCTGCACCATTGTCATGGCCACCTTCACTTCGGCTCTTCTGGTCTGTGGTTGTGTAATGAATGTATAAAACACAATCATATATCTACATAGGTGAGTATGCTGCTGTCAGGTCATTTATATTATTTTGACGTATTTAATCAATCAGTTTAATGATTTACAGGTTAGGCAAAGTTTATGTAACCCCAATCACTGCGGCTTAAACCCCACTAAATAACCATAACATCACTGTACTTAACCAACTTGTATACTATCACCTGTGTTTCCAGCTGACCCATCTCAGTGCTTTGCGTTCCTTGTATGAACATATTCATTTTTGAAGAGCTCTCAACCATCTTTTGTTTTTTCAAGTGTGATTCCCTGATAATATGGCGAATCACATCAGCTCTCAGGTGTCTGCATTCTAATTCATTCCTGCATGTGCATCTTTTGTTGCATATGGAACACCAAAAATGAAAAGGTGTAGTCCCAGGCGTGATGAATGGTCCACTGGGAATGAAACTTGGAGCCATATGAGGCTGCCCCTGCGTTCTTCCTTTGTTTTGATGCACACAGCGCCTCACACTCTCTCTCTATGGTCTATGAGGAAGAGATTTAGATATTGAATTAGTTTATTGAACACAAGTGTAGACACTGACTTAACATGTTACAAATCATAACAAATAACAAGCATAATGGAATCCAAATGTGTAAAACAGCAATCTACAATTGTGTAGTTATTTGCTAGCAAATGTTACAATAAATACAATAAATACAGCTCGCTAGCAGCCTTGGCTACCTGTGAAACCTTTGGGGTATGATATTGTGAACTAGCCAAGTTACCTGCACTTGTGTCTCATCTTCATCTTCCCTCATTGTCTCCTCTGCTTGTCTCCTCTGCTGCCTCTGCCCGTTTTCCTCTGAACTGTTGTTGGCTAATGCCAGTCCCTCATCTCTTTCTCTCTCTTTAGTCTTCTTAAAGTATTTCACAAAGCTCTCCATCTGGAATACCAGTTTATTTAACAAAGTCTGTCTTGAATACATACATACATAGTAGTTAGCAAATCATTTGCATAATAAAACACCATTATTGTTATAATATATGTTTCTTTTATTCTTTAAAAGCTAGCTGTTAACATAGCTTAAGCTATTTAGGGGACTGAATTACAACTTTAGCGCCCTTCAAACCTAAAAGTCAAGTGACAATCTTTTAATGTGCTATACATTCTAAAGTTTAAACAAACAAATCTAAAATGTTAACAAACTTTATAAACAAATATGTGGCCTTTATAGAATAGGTTATCTTACTCTAATCATATTTTCAAACATATTCAACGATATCGATAAAGTGCACTGTGCAAACCCACCTTTCCTTCTGTGGAGTTCGCCGTCGACTGATGAAAAGCCTGGCGTTAAGACGGATCTGCGCATGCGCAATACGGGTCGGGGATTGACCAACCAGCTCCCACTGCTCTGCTGTCGGTTAACGTTGTTAAGAGTGGTGGGAGCGGGGAGGGAGCGGATCGACAGCTTGAGCAGCTGTCAACTCCTTGTTTTTGGCGTGAGAATAGTTTGGGCAGAGTGAGAGCGTGAGATTGACAGTGAAAGCGTGTGTCACACGCCAGATGCGTGAGAGTTGGCAACCCTGCGTTAAGTATGTAAAGTGCTGAATCCATCAATTCATTCATGAAAAATATACTTTAATCAACAGTTTTTAGAATACAATTGTTCAAAACTACCAGCTTTTTGGGATTTTCTGAAAAGATGGTTATTTGTGGGGGTGTTTAGTATTGAGCCGGGGACAGGAAGCTGTTAGCTTACAGTATGAGTCCTAAATTAAAGCAAAACAGGCTCAAAGGTTGCATGGCGAGAAAAGTTGACAGAAAAGGCAAACACGTGGTGCTTCCCTGCATGTGAGTCCATTAGCTTAGCATGATCACTACTGTACTTTGTTGTCCTTATGCATGACAATATTGCCGTTTTGTAAACATCAAATGGTGCAAAGTTATACCATGTCACACCTCAAAGCGTCTCAGAAGAAAGGTGAATACGCCTGCAAAGATATGAGATATAAGGTGTAGTGAAATACAGATACAAAGCGAATCATCAGCAATGGGCCTGGTCTACAAGATCCACTACACCTCTATGGTACCCATGTACATGTCAAAATTCTTCCCAAAGGTCAAGGAATACCATGATCATAACACCAGAGGGAGCTCCACAAATCATGTGAAACCCAGATTTGGCACAAAAAAGGGGGAATACACGTTTCGCAATGATGCCACATCAAGGTGGAACGCTCTTCCCACAACTGTAAAGGAAAGTCAAACTATACTTACCTTCAAAACCTCTCTTAAAGAGCACCTTCGGGGGAGAGCATTGCAAAACTGGCCCCGGTAATGGTACAAATCTCAACCTGTCGTTCAATGGACAGCTTCCCCCCCCATCTATGTATATACTCGCATTTTAGACTCTGTTACTAACTGTATATCTGTAGACTTAGTATGTCTTAAATGTCCGGTTAGGATGTATTAGAACGAAATCTAAAATGAAAATTGTAAACAAGCAATCTGTATGTAAAAAACCACCTGTATGTAAATTGTAAATAAGCCATCTGTATGTCAAATATGTCAAATATGTCTTATATGTCTTAAATGACATGATGAATTGGAAATGGGGGACCCTGATGTAAACAAGACGAAAGTCTTTCTCTGGTCTGCATCCCCTTAACAATTGTATGTTTTGAGCTGTACTGTACTGTACCCAATATACAAGCTGTTAATACACTTTTCAATCAATCAATCAATCAATCAATCAAGCGAAAGTCTGCGGAAAAAGAGAGATGTCAACACCTGCTGATCCACGGTGTTGAATCATGTTTGGTTACACAAGTGAAAGGTATTTGTTTACATGGAAACACCTTGAAGCTGGCAGCTAGCCAACACACACAGTTGTTGGTTAGCTGCCAGCTAGCCAACACACACAGTTGTTGGTTAGCTGCCAGCTAGCCAACACACACAGTTGTTGGTTAGCTGCCAGCTAGCCAACACACACAGTTGTTGGTTAGCTGCCAGCTAGCCAACACACACAGTTGTTGGTTAGCTGCCAGCTAGCCAACACACACAGTTGTTGGTTAGCTGCCAGCTAGCCAACACACACAGTTGTTGGTTAGCTGCCAGCTAGCCAACAACTGTGTTGCGTGTCTTATCTTGAGATGTCTTTCTGTGAAACTGAAACTGTTCATCAGATCAATATAATCTGACCCAGACGGAAAATCATGAGCATTTTACATTTTAGTACCAGAGTGTAGGAGTACTCTGTTACAAGTACAAGTAGAAGTACTCAGATCTAGTACTTGAGTTAAAGTAGAAGTACTCAGATCTTGTACTTGAGTAAAAGTAGAAGTACTCAGGTCTTGTACTTGAGTAAAAGTAGAAGTACTCAGATCTTGTACTTGAGTAAAAGTAGAAGTACTCAGACCTTGTACTTGAGTAAAAGTAGAAGTACTCAGATCTTGTACTTGAGTAAAAGTAGAAGTACTCAGGTCTTGTACTTGAGTAAAAGTAGAAATACTCAGATCTTGTGCTTGAGTAAAAGTAGAAGTACTCAGATCTTGTACTTGAGTAAAAGTAGAAGTACTCAGGTCTTGTACTTGAGTAAATGTAGAAGTACTCAGATCTTGTACTTGAGTAAAAGTAGAAGTACTCAGACCTTGTACTTGAGTAAAAGTAGAAGTACTCAGATCTTGTACTTGAGTAAAAGTAGAAGTACTCAGGTCTTGTACTTGAGTAAAAGTAGAAATACTCAGATCTTGTGCTTGAGTAAAAGTAGAAGTACTCAGATCTTGTGCTTGAGTAAAAGTAGAAATACTCAGATCTTGTGCTTGAGTAAAAGTAGATGTACTCAGCTCTTGTACTTGAGTAAAAGTAGAAGTACCAGAGTGTAGGAATACTCAGTTATAGTAAAAGTCCTGCATTCAAAATGTTCCTCAAGTGAAAGTAGAAAAGTATTCTCATCAAAATATAGTGAAAGACAGTAAAAGTAGTCGTTGTGCAGATTGGTCCATTTCAGAATAATATCTATGATATGTTTTATAATGATTGATCATGAAAGTGTTCTCAAAGCTGGTGAAGGTGCAGCTAGTTTGAAGTACTTTGTATACTGCAGGGTAGCTGGTGGATTTACTCCAGGTGGAACTAAAATCTGATTCAACACTTGATTATATTTCACATCATTCATCCACATCTGAGAAGTACTAAAGGTATTAATACATGTAGTGGAGGAAAAGTACACCATGTACCTCTGAACTGTAGTGGAGTAGAAGTACACAGTAGCATAAATGGAAATACTCAAGTACAAGTACCTCTAAATTGCACTTAAGTACAGTACTTGGGTTAATCTACTTAGGTACTTTCCACCTCTGTAAATAAGTAATAGTTTCCAACAATATGTAGTTATTTCTTTTGTAGAGCAGAAGTGAATTGAAACAAAGAGACTTGGAAGTGAACCAATGACTCCAACGTCCACATTCCTCTGGAAAACATCCAAAAGAGCTCACACGGATCATCCTGATGATGAAACGTACACTAAATAACATTTCAGAACACACGTAAATAATTAATATGTGTCTGAATGTCAGCTGGGGGAGTTTCAGGGTGATACCTCTTCATAGTTAAATAAAGCATCCCATATGTTTGTGCGTGTTGTTTCCTGGTCTCTAATCTCGTCGTCTCCTTCAGGCATTGTTTAGATTTCACAACGGATGGTTTTCCCCTCGGAGCAGCGTGGGCAGAAAGCGCTTCAACTTCCTCTTTTCATTGAGTGCTCCATAAATACATCGCTTCACTTCATCACAGCAGGTGCTCCCATGAGAAAGCAGCTGTTCTACAGGTGAGTTCCTCTCTGAATACGTGTGTGTGTGTGAGTTTGCTTTTAAGCACTTTAAGCAGGATAGGGCATTATGTATTGCGCAATCAGATCAAAATCGGTGCGTTTGTTTATTCAGGAGATTTCAATTGAAAGCGAGCATTAAAATCACACAACAAAAGGAAATAAATATGTGTATTGAGAGGATGCAATCGGTGTAGTTGTGGAAGACGTATCTTTGCAGTAAAAGTACGAGACATGTTTAAGTAGCAAGACATGAATTCAATGTTTATTGTAGGTATTGTTTCAACGCTTAGGATCAAACTACCAGTTTTACTCTGATTGCAGATTCAGTTATAATCTGCAAATGTTTTTGTTTGATGCATATATTATATAATTCAAAGCATACACAGATAGCTGTGAAGCTGTGTACAGAGCGTGTCTTATTTATACACTTTGTATGACTAAAATCATGAAGAAAATGCACATTTTATGGCAGTATTGTCTTATCTCTGAAGTTATACAAAGAGATATCTAAAAACCGCTCGGTAACAAACGTTGACTTTAAGAAGACAACAAAATGAAACATACTTTGAACCTGGCTTTGTCCAACGTTCACTTTATGTTTCCGTAACTGTTATTGTAAGGGAAACTTCTGTGTAGCAATGCAGTGGGAGTCACCGACACAGGAAGAGCAGGTAGAGCAGGAGCTTCGATGTCAAACACTGGAGGTTTATTTGGAGTTTCGGCCGGAGAGATTCACATCACAAGTCACAGCAGTCACGGTCTGACTGCACGGGTGGGTTGCCACGTCAATCCTGGAGCGCCTCTCTCTCGTTAGCCCATTTAACTGGTTTCACAGAGTCATCAACATGTTTTGATAAGATAGCTTTACACAGTTGGGCACACTGAGTCACTTGCGTCCGCCACTTATGGCCTCGAAGATGTCATACCTTGGAGTCCACAAACAACAAAGAAGGAAGTGTCCCAGTGCACCCACAACACAGACCATCTGTGACCTAGTGTTGACCGGTCACAGAATGGGAACAATAACATTATGGCTGAAGCAGCCTATGTCCTTAAAGGAGATAACAGACGTCAGGGTTGGTCCTGCACGTCATATCTAGGAGTCGGACAATTATTTCCCTAACAGTTATAATAAATACATTATTACCGTAATTATAGCATTAGCCTTCTAATAATGAATGAAAGTGAATCATCATTGCTGTGTTTGCTAACAGTAAGAGTTCAATTAACTGTCACTTAACCCTTTATGAAGGACGGTGGTGCATGAGCGTTTTGCAGGGTTGTGCAAACAGCTGTGAGTTAATCAACGGTTCATCTGCTGTTTGTTCACATTGTATAAGATAAAGAGAAACACAGGTTTCAGATAGTCGGTCACACTTAATCAAATCACCACCCGATGTTTAATCGAACTTTTACTGATAATAATAATAACAATGAAATGCACATTGTACAATATACAATGCTGCTCTGACTGGTCAGCTGGTCGGCTCTGTTGTGATTGGTCCAGCGCTTAAAGATGTCCCGCTCCTTAGCCTATCACGTACAATGTGTTGGAGCGCTAGCGTGAGTGTTACATAGTGATGTCATTATGTTCAGAAAGTAAACAAAGGAGTCAAATGGAGGCGTTTGCAGACCATTTACATGCATTAAAACAACCCAGAGAACAGGAAAGGGAAAACATAATTAAAAGTCCCCTATTATGCAAAACCCTCTTCTTCATGTCTTTTCTACATCAACATGTGTCTCCTCTTCTTCATGTCTCTTCTACATCAACATGTGTCCCCTCTTCTTCATGTCTCTTCTACATCAACATGTGTCCCCTCTTCTTCATGTCTCTTCTACATCAACATGTGTCCCCTCTTCTTCATGTCTCTTCTACATCAACATGTGTCCCTCTTCTTCATGTCTCTTCTTCATCAACATGTGTCCCTCTTCTTCATGTCTCTTCTACATCAACATGTGTCCCCTCCTCTTCATGTCTCTTCTACATCAACATGTGTCCCCTCTTCTCCATGTCTCTTCTACATCAACATGTGTCCCCTCTTCTTCATGTCTCTTCTACATCAACATGTGTCCCCTCTTCTTCATGTCTCTTCTACATCAACATGTGTCCCCTCTTCTTCATGTCTCTTCTACATCAAACATGTGTCCCCTCTTCTTCATGTCTCTTCTACATCAACATGTGTCCCCTCTTCTTCATGTCTCTTCTACATCAACATGTGTCCCCTCTTCTCATGTCTCTTCTACATCACATGTGTCCCCTCTTCTCATGTCTCTTCTACATCAACATGTGTCCCCTCTTCTCCATGTCTCTTCTACATCAACATGTGTCCCCTCTTCTCCATGTCTCTTCTACATCAAATGTGTCCCCTCTTCTTCCATGTCTCTTCTACATCAACATGTGTCCCCTCTCTTCATGTCTCTTCTATCAATCACATGTGTCCCCTCTTCTTCCATGTCTCTTCTTACATCAACATGTGTCCCCTCTTCTCCAGTGTCTCTTCTACATCAACATGTGTCCCCTCTTTCTTCATGTCTCTTCTACATCAACATGTGTCCCCTCTTCTTCATGTCTCTTCTACATCAACATGTGTCCCCCTCTTCTTCATGTCTCTTCTACATCAACATGTGTCCCCTCTTCTTCATGTCTCTTCTACATCAACATGTGTCCCCTCTTCTTCATGTCTCTTCTACATCAACATGTGTCCCCTCTTCTTCATGTCTCTTCTACATCGAACATGTGTCCCCTCTTCTTCATGTCTCTTCTACATCGCATGTGTCCCCTCTTCTTCATGTCATCGACATGTGTCCCCTCTTCTTCATGTCTCTTCTACATCAACATGTGTCCCCTCTTCTTCATGTCTCTTCTACATCAATATGTGTCCCCTATTCTTCATGTCTCTTCTACATCAACACGTGTCCCCTCTTCTTCATGTCTCTTCTACATCAACATGTGTCCCCTCTTCTTCATGTCTCTTCTACATCAACACGTGTCCCCTCTTCTCCATGTATCTTCTACATCAACATGTGTCCCCTCTTCTTCATGTCTCTTCTACATCAACATGTGCCCCCTCTTCTTCATGTCTCTTCTACATCAACATGTGTCCCCTCTTCTTCATGTATCTTCTACATCAACATGTGTCCCCTCTTCTCCATGTCTCTTCTACATCAACATGTGCCCCCTCTTCTTCATGTCTCTTCTACATCAACATGTGTCCCCTCTTCTCCATGTCTCTTCTACATCAACATGTGTCCCCTCTTCTCCATGTCTCTTCTACATCAACATGTGTCCCCTCTTCTCCATGTCTCTTCTACATCAACATGTGTCCCCTCTTCTTCATGTCTCTTCTACATCAACATGTGTCCCCTCTTCTTCATGTCTCTTCTACATCAACATGTGTCCCCTCTTCTTCATGTCTCTTCTACATCACCATGTGTCCTCTCTTCTTCATGTCTCTTCTACATCAACATGTGTCCCCTCTTCTTCATCTCTCTTCTACATCACCATGTGTCCTCTCTTCTTCATGTCTCTTCTACATCAACATGTGTCCCCTCTTCTTCATGTCTCTTCTACATCAACATGTGTCCCCTCTTCTTCATCTCTCTTCTACATCAACATGTGTCCCCTCTTCTTCATGTCTCTTCTACATCAACATGTGTCCCCTCTTCTTCATCTCTCTTCTACATCAACATGTGTCCCCTCTTCTTCATCTCTCTTCTACATCACCATGTGTCCTCTCTTCTTCATGTCTCTTCTACATCAACATGTGTCCCCTCTTCTTCATGTCTCTTCTACATCAACATGTGTCCCCTCTTCTTCATCTCTCTTCTACATCAACATGTGTCCCCTCTTCTTCATGTCTCTTCTACATCAACATGTGTCCCCTCTTCTTCATCTCTCTTCTACATCAACATGTGTCCTCTCTTCTTCATCTCTCTTCTACATCAACATGTGTCCCCTCTTCTTCATGTCTCTTCTACATCAACATGTGTCCCCTCTTCTTCATGTCTCTTCTTCATCAACATGTGTCCCCTCTTCTTCATGTCTCTTCTACATCAACATGTGTCCCCTCTTCTTCATCTCTCTTCTACATCAACATGTGTCCCCTCTGTGGAAAGAGACTCTGAAAGTTTCAGGAACAAAGATTCTCTCTCTTTTTGATCCATTTCTATAAAAACCTGTCTGAAAATGAGCTGATCAGATTTTGGCCACTTTATGATGTCATAACGATGTGTTGTCTTGTGTAACCATTAGCCAATCAGCACCAAGGTACCCTCCCCCCCCCCCCCCCTTATCACCTGAATCTCCTCCTAGAGCACCATTGAGTTCTTTGTAACCAAATGTCTCTCAGAGGGGCGTGGGGAGGGGCTCCTTATTTTCATCTAAAGTAACAGACAGAGAATCAACACTTTGGAAACAGGGCTGAAACAGAGGGGATTATGGGTAATGCTGCAATGATCTGTTTGGTGTTTCAGCCAATCAGAGATAGGCTATGGATATATCTGAGAGCTGTGATATACTGATGATAAACAGTATAAAATGGCCTCTTTAACATCTGCTCCTTTCTTTCTTCAGGTTCCTGCAGACTCCAGGATGACCTTCACGTGGCTGTGTTTGCTCTTGGCTGCTCCTCTGCTGCTAAGCGCTGCCTCCTCAGAATATGGTATTTTATAACCGAATAACCATTTGTTTTGTCCTTATACCTTTTACAAATATATATAATTGACCTCTGTTATGTATTTGTTTGTTTATTTGTTTGTTTATTTATCTGTTTATATATTTGTTGTTTTATGTGTTTTTGTTTTTCCATAACAAATGTATTTCTATAAGAAGAAAAAAAAGGATATGTTACTAATTTAGTTTTTGGGAAAAGAGGTGGGATTAAATAGTGTAAACTTCTTCCCACCCCTTTTCAGATGTGTAATTAAGTAGATTATTTGTTTATACATAATTTAGAATCAGTAATATGTTTGTTTATCAATTTGATACTGATTCATTTTGTCAAGTAATGTATTGTATAATAATTCTCATGTTCAATTTGTGTATTATTATTTGACACCTTCGAAATAAAGCTGATCAAATCAATAAATAAACTGTGCCCTTTAAATAAAAAATGATTTAACTTACACGCCTTTTTCCTTCTCGCCCTGTAGTGTCAGTGAAGTGCAACGACACAGAGGCAGAGTCAGGACAACTCGTGACTATACACTGCACATACACCCTGCGACAGAACTGTAATTTTGGTCGGTATCACTGGAATAACACGAAAAGTGAAAACATAAAGTGTGACAATGACTCTGGGAAACACACCTGTGAGTGGGATCGTGTGAGTCACCTGTCCATGACCATCTCAGATGTCAGGAAGGAGGAGAATTACAGCGTTAACATCCTGACTAACTGTGGGACGGTCACATCGCCTCACATCAAAGTACACATAATAAGTCCTGATCCCTTTCGCTCCATTAGTCCGACTCCTGGTAAGTGTGTTGCATTCTGGGACACGGCGGCCATCTTTGAAGGATAGCGTCTAGATCAGGGGTGGGGAGCACATGCTGCAGTTTGTGCGGCTGTGTCTTTGGCTGAAAGCCCAGTGGCGATCTGCTCATCTGTCACACTGATCATACAGTCAATAACTGTTGTTATTAGCATCTGGTTAGCTAGCTATGCTAACGAATATAAGAAGCTTTTTCTACAACCAGTGAGGTAAAGGCACATCTTTATATGTTCATTATAGTTATTATAAAATAAGAGAATAAAGTAAACAGGTATAAAATACTATATGACAGTAATGTTATTCATAAACAAGAATACAGTTTAAAAGGAGAGTGATTTGTAAAATATCCATAAAGAAAGATAAAATCTGCTTCCAGTTCTGTTTCATCTGGGTGCTGAGAGATGTTTCCATAGATCTCCTAATGTTGCTCTCAAAGTGCACCAGATTGATGCTTTTAACTTCAACATTTAAAAAAAATCTTCCCGGGGGAGCATGCCCCCAGACCCCCCTAGAGGAGGGGAGGACCCCCCCCCCACTTAAATCATGTTCACATGGATAGGAAACTAATTTGCACACATCTTGCATCCATATCTTTCTGTTTTGGTGGTCATGCCACACCGTGCACATGCATGCATGCGCAAGTAAGATATCTGGATTAAGAGGTTGCTTTTTCTTTGCACAGCATGAAAGAAAGGCCGAATGAATGGGCTGTGATTTTAGTTTTTTTAAGCAGAGGTCAATAATTTGTACGGCCCTCGGAGGATGTTGAAACATTTGAAATGGCCCTTGAGAGGAAAAAGGTTCCCCACCCCTTTAGGTCAGGGTGTCAAAACTCTTTTCACTGATGGCCAAATACAGGTAAAAATATATGAAGGGCTGCTCCCCTCAATAGAGGTAGGGTGTATTGCCTCATAAATTAAGATATAAGTTAGCTAGATTAATCAAATGTAGGTCAATTATGCTTGATACTTGAATTTGCTATAGAGCTTACATCACAGCTCTCCAGAGGGTTTCATTTATCTTGTTATATACCAACCCAGTCTCACGGCATTTCGTGTTATAGTCACGAAATGTATTTAATCTATTGATTCGTGTTCACCAACACGATTTTCCCATTTATTTTTTCCGTGTCAGACAGAACGATTTTAAAAGCACTGTATTTCTATTGGTAGTATGTTTCGTGCCTGCACCCCGTCTTTTTGCCGTCCGCGAGGAAAACAAATGGGGCTCAGAGCCTCCGAATACTGAAATCTGTATTCTTTTTTGTTGGGATATCGTGTTGGTGAACACAAATCAACACGAAATGCCATGAGACTGGGTTATATAAACAGTGTTAGCGGCTTATTCCTTAAAAACAGAAGCCTCAGATATCTTATAATAAGGGGAAATATGAAGGGTCTATTTCAAGCTTGTTATGCAAATAAGTAATCTGGATTTATTTTAATCGACAAAGATTTGTTTTAAAATGTGTTCAAGTTTAATTGACTGAATCTATTTGAAAATGAGGCTTATTAACACATGAATACTACTGTGTAATATATATTTACATATGTATTCAGGAAGTATAATTTAAGACAAGCACAAGTTTCATATGTGACCCATTTTCCATTATAGTTTTAGAATTTGCTGCGGGCCAATTCAAAATGAACCACTGGCCGCAGTTTGGACACCCCTGGTCTATACAAGAGCTTTAACTTAATAATGATGTGTGTGTTTACTGCGACAGGTTTGAAACCAATCCCTCTGTATTGGTTTGTGTCAATTTAGCAATTAACAATAAACATCCAGGCGTATCTTGCGGCTACGTTTCCCACGTTAACCCTCCATGTTGGATAATAATAAATTGTTATTCCATGGTCATTTAAATTTTTTTTTACAAGTCTTTTTATTTCATTATGGTGTACAGTAATCGATGCCATTTCATTTATATTGTAAATGTAATATCACAGTACCACAGTACACTCACTACACTCCCCCCTCCCTCCCTCTACCCGCAAAAAAATGCTTATCAATATAACTTAAACAACAGAGCCATGAAAATAAACATAAAACGGAAAAAAAAATAAACCCACATCAAAGTAAAACAAACAAATAATTATACAATTAATTATACAATACAGCGACAATATAGACAATGACAACACAACTAGTATTTCCGGCCGTCAGGAAAAATAGGATGGTCATTTTTTGATGGTTTATTGGTCCTGTAATTGGCTGTTAGATCTTCACAATCAATCATGTTCAAAAAGTTAAAGTTGTAGGGTTTATGCACCTCTTAACTCAACGTACAGGTTGGTCAATGGGTTGCGGACGCTGGTATCCTTCAAAGATGGCCGACTTGTATCATCACATTCCCATTTCTTATTGTCTTTTAGCAAATGTGCGTAAAGCGTGCATCATTATTATCCATCTAAAGTTAAAATACATTGGATTAGTCCACATTTTAATCTCTATGTTTATTTTTCAGGTCCAATTGAGACGACCAAAACTCATGTTCCGGTCCTCTTGGGGATTTTCGTCCCTGTGATAGCATTGGGGATTTTCGGTGCCCTGTTTGGAAAGAAAATCATTAATCGTATCAACAAGGCAACGCCACAAGATAACGATCCTGACATGGAGCGTGACGTCCTGCATGACAACAAAGAGCTGCAAGAATTAGTCCTGAAACCCGGGAATGAGTCAGCATTTTTGGCACTTCCTGTTCCCATGTGTTTTTGGTTGCCAAAAAAAAGGTCTGTGGTTAACCCAGAAAGAAGAGATTGTTGTTCTACGACATAACATATGTCATGAAATACCCCTATGGGAAATTTAGAAAAAACGGCGGTCTAAATAAGTGTCTAAATAAAGCGTCTTTGAGCATTAGGAAAAGCACGATAAAAATCCCATGTATTATTAAATACATAGCCGCCTTTAGCTTAGCGGTGGTGATGTGAAGTCATGTGACCGTGCTGTAGTTCCTTTATAGCCCAATATTAGCCTCCTTTAGCTTAGCGGTGGAGATGTGAAGTCATGTGACCATGCTGTAGTTCCTTTATAGCCCAACATTAGCCTCCTTTAGCTTAGCGGTGGTAACGTGAAGTCATGTGACCGTGCAGTAGTTCCTTTATAGCCCAACATTAGCCTCCTTTAGCTTAGCGGTGGAGATGTGAAGTCATGTGACCGTGCTGTAGTTCCTTTATAGCCCAACATTAGCCACCTTTAGCTTAGCGGTGGTGACGTGAAGTCATGTGACCGTGCTGTAGTTCCTTTATAGCCCAACATTAGCCACCTTTAGCTTAGCGGTGGTGACGTGAAGTCATGTGACCGTGCTGTAGTTCCTTTATAGCCCAACATTAGCCACCTTTAGCTTAGCGGTGGTGACGTGAAGTCATGTGACCGTGCTGTAGTTCCTTTATAGCCCAACATTAGCCACCTTTAGCTTAGCGGTGGTGACGTGAAGTCATGTGACCGTGCTGTAGTTCCTTTATAGCCCAACATTAGCCACCTTTAGCTTAGCGGTGGTGACGTGAAGTCATGTGACCGTGCTGTAGTTCCTTTATAGCCCAACATTAGCCACCTTTAGCTTAGCGGTGGTGACGTGAAGTCATGTGACCGTGCTGTAGTTCCTTTATAGCCCAACATTAGCCTCCTTTAGCTTAGCGGTGGTGACGTGAAGTCATGTAACCGTGCTGTAGTTCCTTTATAGCCCAACATTAGCCACCTTTAGCTTAGCGGTGGTGACGTGAAGTCATGTGACCGTGCTGTAGTTCCTTTATAGCCCAACATTAGCCTCCTTTAGCTTAGCGGTGGTGACGTGAAGTCATGTGACCGTGCTGTAGTTCCTTTATAGCCCAACATTAGCCTCCTTTAGCTTAGCGGGGGTGGTGAATACAGAAGAAAATGTATTTAACCATGTGTATATATGTAAAATATATATGTTTGGGGTTATATCTGTACATATTATACACAAGAGTTGGACATTAAGATGCCTTTAGATTTTCTGGAGCTTGAACCCACTTTACAAAATAGCACTACAAAGCCACTTAATCAATTCTGCAATAAAAACAAACCAAGTAAGAATGTGTTGTTTTATACTGTGCAATATATTTTTTTTACTGTGAAAGCTAAATAAGCCTTTGTACATGTAGCATGTGGTGTTGTCAAATAAAGTTGTTGTCGATAAGCAGTTTAACTTCTTTGATTTAATGCAGCCCACACACACACACACACACACACACACACACACACACACACACACACACACACACACACACACACACACACGCACAAACACACACACACAGATGATAAAGACACACGTCACACTTCCTCTGTACATTTAACATGTGGTGTTGTCAAATAAAGTTGTTGTCGATAAGCAGTTTAACTTCTTTGATTTAATGCAGCCCACACACACACACACACACACACACGCACAAACACACACACACAGATGATAAAGACACACGTCACACTTCCTCTGTACATTTAACATGTGGTGTTGTCAAATAAAGTTGTTGTCGATAAGCAGTTTCCTCTTCTTTGATTTAATGCAGCCCACACACACACACACACACACACACACACACACACACACACACACACACACACAGATGATACAGACACACCATCACACTTCCTCTGTCAGTGTGTGTTCGGCCTGAGAGGATGGAGGCCCTCGGGTGGAGCTGTGTGTTGGGGATCCTCTGTCTGCCGGCTGAGGTCCTGCTGCACGCATGGACAGGTACGTGTGTGTGAGAAAAATGTGGAATTCTGTTGTTTTTGTTTAACATCCAAAATGATGAAGACGAGTCACGTCTTCCTGTTCGTTTCCTGTTTTCAAACCTCTGAGCAGAAGCATCTCTTTCTATTCTCTAAAACTAACATTCAATTTAAAAATGATGATGTTTGTTCCTCTTTTTTATAGTAAAATGGACTGAATGTTTTAAATAAACCCAGTATTTCTGTAGAAAAATATCCCCTGTGTTCGACATGTACTCATTTTACCCTGATACCGTATAAAGGTAAATATTGTATTTAAAGGTAATACACCTGTTGTACAACGATTTACTATAGAGAAGTAATTTATATAATGCTATAAGTCTAATACATCCTAAAAATGTTATTATTTATTTTTAATATCAAATAAATATATGTCATTTTTAAATATGTATTATGTATATTATTATTTATTTTAAATGTTTTGTTTATATACATTTTTAGTTTGCATTCCTCAAAATGAAAATAACATATATATTTGGTGAACTAAGCAATGATATATTTTCATTTAATTTGAATTCATACATCGGGTAAAGACATATTTAAAATCACACACTGACGATTCCGAGAATAAACAAAGGTGGACGAAGTAAAAGCAGAAGCAAAAATACAAAATCATCAGCTAAGAAACATGCATTCAAAGTAGCTGCAAACCAACAAGTGACCGTGCTTTAGTTCCTTTATAGCCGAACATTAGCCGCATTTAGCTTAGCGGTGGTGACGTGAAGTCATGTGACCGTGCTGTAGGTCCTTTAGAGCCCAACATTAGCCACCTTTAGCTTAGCGGTGGTGACGTGAAGTCATGTGACTGTGCTGTAGTTCCTTTATAGCCCAACACTAGCCACCTTTAGCTTAGCGGTGGTGACGTGAAGTCATGTGACCGTGCTGTAGTTCCTTTATAGCCCAACATTAGCCACCTTTAGCTTAGCGGTGGTGACGTGAAGTCATGTGACCGTGCTGTAGTTCCTTTATAGCCCAACATTAGCCACCATTAGCTTAGCGGTGGTGAAGTCATGTGTCCGTGCTGTAGTTCCTTTATAGCCCAACATTAGCCACCATTAGCTTAGCGGTGGTGACGTGAAGTCATGTGACCGTGCTGTAGTTCCTTTATAGCCCAACATTAGCCACCATTAGCTTAGCGGTGGTGACGTGAAGTCATGTGACCGTGCTGTAGTTCCTTTATAGCCCAACATTAGCCTTATGAAATAAATGTAAAGCAGCAAAATATCAGTCAGTGTGTTTGTCCTGCAGTGAAGTACAGCAGCAGCAGCAGCAGCAGCAGCAGGAAGTGAAAACACCCACAGAAACAGAGTTCACTTCTTTAAAAACATCCATGACTTAAAGACAACACTGAATATTTAAACACCTCGGTTAACATATATAACTGTGCATTGAGACACTCAGACTGCAGGAAGTGGAGAACAGTCATAAGGCTAAGCAGTGGGGGGTTGTGAGAAGATTAATTGACCATTGACATCAGGACGGCAGATAGCTTGCACATCTTCCGGCGCAAACTGAAAACTGATCTCTTTCGACTCCACTTCGAGCGTTAGAACTGTTATGGAAATAATTATCATAGACGCCAATTTGTAACATACAGGACAAACCTTGATGTCTGTTTACCTTCTTTAAGGACACAGGCTGCTTGGCCAATAATGTTATTGTTCCCATTCTGTGACCGGTCAATACTGGGTCACAGATGGTCTGTGTTGTGGGTACACTGGGACACTTCCTTCTCTGTATTTGTGGACTCCAAGGTGAAATCTTCGAGGTCATAAGTGTCCGACGCAAGTAGCTCAGTGTTCCCACACTGTTTAGGCTATCTTCTCAAATATGTTGTTTACTCTCTGCGAAACCAGTTAGATGGGCTGGCAAGAGAGAGGCTCTCCAGAATTGACGTGGCAACTCTACCGTGAAGTCAGAACCTCTGACTCTTGGATTTGTGATGTGAATACTCTGGTACCAACTCCAAATAAATCACAGTGGTTTGACATCAAAGCTCCGACTCCTCCCGTGTCTCCTTCCTGAGTCGGTGACTCCATTGCATGCTACACAGAAGTTTCCTTTACAAGAACTATTAACGAAGCACTTTTATACTAATAAAGGACTGGCTTACCTAAAGCCAGTTGAGTAGCACTTGAAATGTTTGGCTCTATGAAACCTGATGTACTTATGTGATTCTGTTTTCTTCAAGGTTGTGTCTTCCTGGTCGAATGTACTTATTGTAAGTCGCTTTGGATAAAAGCGTCAGCTAAATGCAATGTAATAATGTAATAATTAATGAGGCAAGCATATATATCCATTCTGCAGCTTAACCTTTTAGTCATTTAAAAAAATACATATATTTGAGTATATCCTGCAGCTACCTCTAAAAGAACTGAGGGGAGTCTGCGGACGGTTGCAACACTTTCTGCATTTCTTTAAGTTGATATTCGGTCCAGACCAACACCATTTGCATATATTAAACCTACATATATCTGCTAGTTATCCATGTTATTTAAAGATGATAAGGCATGACATCATATATATTTTAAAGGAATACAACTAGATGTTTAATTTCACTAATTATAAATCAGAGTGTCATCACATCATGTTTCTGATTGGAGGAATCAGACCGTCTTCAGTCTCACCTGCTGTTGCTTTGACTTATTATTCATACAGGTAGGACATATAACTTACACTTTGACCGTCTTGTTTTATATCTGCGGCTCAGAGGATTGCAGAACAGCCAGAAAATCTTGCTGCAAGTGTTGACTGATAGCAGATAGAAGATAACATCCTGGAGTTTTTTCAGATTGCATTCTCACTTCCACTCTGTGCCTAACAGCACCTTGTTTGGTTTGGCACCTAATAGAAACATGGGTGTGTGTGTGTGGTACATCTGACAGACGGATTGAGATGTGTCTCATTAGCTACTTGTTTTTCGACTAGTTTAAACTGTGGGCACCTTTTATATTAGCAGGAGAGGACTCTTTAAAGTAGAGACACTACATACTGATATACACCTGAACATCAGCAGGAGAGGACTCTTTAAAGTAGAGACACTACATACTGATATACACCTGAACATCAGCAGGAGAGGACTCTTTAAAGTAGAGACACTACATACTGATATACACCTGAACATCAGCAGGAGAGGACTCTTTAAAGTAGAGACACTACATACTGATATACGCCTGAACATCAGCAGGAGAGGAATCTTTAAAGTAGAGACACTACATACTGATATACACCTGAACATCAGCAGGAGAGGACTCTTTAAAGTAGAGACACTACATACTGATATACACCTGAACATCAGCAGGAGAGGACTCTTTAAAGTAGAGACACTACATACTGATATACACCTGCACATCAGCAGGAGAGGACTCTTTAAAGTAGAGACACTACATACTGATATACACCTGAACATCAGCAGGAGAGGACTCTTTAAAGTAGAGACACTACTAGGGTTGGGAACCGAAACTCGGTTCCAGATGAGAACCGATAAGAAAATGCCGGGTACCGGGTACCCATACAAAATACACAATTTCGGTTCTGCTTAACGGTTCCTAAACGCGGTAGACCCTGTATTCCAGCGGGTCCGTCTGCACCGCGGTGCTGCGGTGACCCGGTGGAATACAGGGCGGACCTGGAGAATCACAGAACGGCCGGTCGTCAGCGGGCCGTTGACGGCCGGCTCGGTACGCTGACGGCCGGCACCGCCCTTCATTTTTTTAAACGGCATCATATAAATTGCGCTGACAGGCGACAGAGGTCCACAGTTGCCCCGCAGCGATGCTCCCCCGCCCTCCCGTAGACATTTCACGAGCTCAGTCACTTCATAACACCAAAGATAGGTCGCGGTAAACACTCTGAAGTGAGGCTCCACTAAAAAAGAAAAAGAAAAGGCAAAGTGTAATGCCTGTTAATAGCTTGCCACAGGCATAGCTCAGTTAAAATAAAGCACAGCTATTGTGCAATACATTTGTATTGCATGTATATTTTTTAGTAACAATTTCAGTTAAACCTTTTAAGAATAAATATATTTTTGTTATCTAAACGTTTGACCTCTTTATTTTACAATTTTGGAATCGAAACGGGGAATCGATAAGAACCGGAATCGATAAGCAGAACCGGAATCGAAATCGGAATCGATACATTTCAAACGATACCCATCCCTAGACACTACATACTGATATACACCTGAACATCAGCAGGAGAGGACTCTTTAAAGTAGAGACACTACATACTGATATACACCTGAACATCAGCAGGAGAGGACTCTTTAAAGTAGAGACACTACATACTGATATACACCTGAACATCAGCAGGAGAGGACTCTTTAAATCAGATCAGTTAAAGAAGAGTACCCATTTTTTCACATATGTTAGCTACATGTTTGCCCTGTCGTGGAACTTCGCAAATAATTTGTGTAGAAACCTTTATTTTGATTGTCCTCTTGATGTTGTGGAGGCTTCAGTAACAGTTTCTCTTATTCTGTCAGTTTCTCAGGAGCCCTCCTCCACCTCCATAAAGACAATAAACTCCTCCGCTGAGATCTCCTGCTACACCTCTGTGTCGGACCCCGTTAGCCTGACTCTGCAGAGGAAGTTTCACAGCAGAACAGACGTCAGTTTCCTGTATTTTCAAAAGGGAAAAATAGCAAAAAATACAATGGATGTAGTGTTTAAAAAACGGATTCAAGTATCTGAACGAAAGCAGCTGGACGGAGGCGTTGGTGTCTCCTTTAAGATCGATATGATGCAGCTGCAGGACACCGACCTGTATGACTGCACCTGGAGCTACGTGGACAAAGGGCGACTGGCCACCAACGGCACCATCATCATCGTCAGAGGTAAATAAAACCAGTTGTTAATGTTTGAATATGCACACACTAAACATTCATATAAAAAACCCACAAAATGATCATGAAAATTCACCCAATATTCTACTGGGACATGTCTCCATGCTTTAATGTTCAGGTGTATATCAGTATGTAGTGACTCTACTTTAAAGAGTCCTCTCCTGCTGATGTTCAGGTGTATATCAGTATGTAGTGACTCTACTTTAAAGAGTCCTCTCCTGCTGATGTTCAGGTGTATATCAGTATGTAGTGTCTCTACTTTAAAGAGTCCTCTCCTGCTGATGTTCAGGTGTATATCAGTATGTAGTGTCTCTACTTTAAAGAGTCCTCTCCTGATGATGTTCAGGTGTATATCAGTATGTAGTGACTCTACTTTAAAGAGTCCTCTCCTGCTGATGTTCAGGTGTATATCAGTATGTAGTGTCTCTACTTTAAAGAGTCCTCTCCTGCTGATGTTCAGGTGTATATCAGTATGTAGTGTCTCTACTTTAAAGAGTCCTCTCCTGCTGATGTTCAGGTGTATATCAGTATGTAGTGTCTCTACTTTAAAGAGTCCTCTCCTGCTGATGTTCAGGTGTATATCAGTATGTAGTGTCTCTACTTTAAAGAGTCCTCTCCTGCTGATGTTCAGGTGTATATCAGTATGTAGTGTCTCTACTTTAAAGAGTCCTCTCCTGCTGATGTTCAGTGTATATCAGTATGTAGTTCTCTACTTTAAAGAGTCCTCTCCTGCTGATGTTCAGGTGTATATCAGTATGTGTGTCTCTACTTTAAAGAGTCCTCTCCTGCTGATGTTCAGGTGTATATCAGTATGTAGTGTCTCTACTTTAAAGAGTCCTCTCCTGCTGATGTTCAGGTGTATATCAGTATGTAGTGTCTCTACTTTAAAGAGTCCTCTCCTGCTGATGTTCAGGTGTATATCAGTATGTAGTGTCTCTACTTTAAAGAGTCCTCTCCTGATGATGTTCAGGGGTATATCAGTATGTAGTGTCTCTACTTCAAAGAGTCCTCTCCTGCTGATGTTCAGGTGTATATCAGTATGTAGTGTCTCTACTTTAAAGAGTCCTCTCCTGCTGATGTTCAGGTGTATATCAGTATGTAGTGTCTCTACTTTAAAGAGTCCTCTCCTGATGATGTTCAGGGGTATATCAGTATGTAGTGTCTCTACTTTAAAGAGTCCTCTCCTGCTGATGTTCAGGTGTATATCAGTATGTAGTGTCTCTACTTTAAAGAGTCCTCTCCTGCTGATGTTCAGGTGTATATCAGTATGTAGTGTCTCTACTTTAAAGAGTCCTCTCCTGCTGATGTTCAGGTGTATATCAGTATGTAGTGTCTCTACTTTAAAGAGTCCTCCCCTGCTGATGTTCAGGTGTATATCAGTATGGATGGAGTGTGTCTACTTTAAAGAGTCCTCTCCTGCTGATGTTCAGGTGTATATCAGTATGTAGTGTCTCTACTTTAAAGAGTCCTCTCCTGCTGATGTTCAGGTGTATATCAGTATGTAGTGTCTCTACTTTAAAGAGTCCTCTCCTGCTGATGTTTCAGGTGTATATCAGTATGTAGTTCTCTACTTTAAAGAGTCCTCTCCTGCTGATGTTCAGGTGTATATCAGTATGTAGTGTCTCTACTTTAAAGAGTCCTCTCCTGCTGATGTTCAGGTGTATATCAGTATGTAGTGTCTCTACTTTAAAGAGTCCTCTCCTGCTGATGTTCAGGTGTATATCAGTGTGTAGTGTCTCTTCATGTCTCCAGGCTTTAATGTTCAATAAGCTCTTTATTTTTCTCATACTGCCTGTGCTGCAGCATCTCTTTTCACCCTCTGTCTGAAACCAGAGCCCAGTCGGCTCTGATTGGTTAGCTGGCTGGTTCTGTTGTGATTGGTCAAATTCTTAGAGATATGTGTTGGAGTGCTAGCCAATAGAAGCGCTAGTGTACCATATTGATGTCACCATCTTCAGGAAGTAAACAAAGGAATCCAATGGAGGCGTTTCAGTACTTCAACAAAATGTTACTGCACAATCAATACTTGTAAATTGTGTCTAACCTGTTAAACAAAAATACAATTTGTAAATTCAATACTTCAAATTATTTTGAAAATGAATTTGTTCTTGCATCCATCCATTAAAGAGTAACAAATACAAAATAAAATACATACAGTATACGAACTATATTTTGTTGGGTCAACGTAAGCACTGAAACGTTGACTTTCATTAAATGTATTATGTCAACAGATTTCATTACTGTATTAGGTTATTTGAAAGCAATAATGTAAATTCGACCCAATATTTCTTATTTCATCTTAATATTATTGCTTTCAACTAACCTAATGCAGTAATGTGAAATCTGTTGACATAATACACTTGTGTCAAACTCAAGGCCCGGGGGCCAAATCAGGCCCTTGGTGGATTTAATTTCGGCCTGCAGGAGAAGTTCTCCTTCACGTCAAAAGGAGCCAGTTGAGGTGGTTCGGGCACCTAGTTAGGATGCCACCTGGGCGCCTCCCTAGGGAGGTGTTCCAGGCACGTCCAGCTGGGAAGAGACCAAGGGGTAGACCTAGGACCAGGTGGAGGGATTATATCTCTTCGCTGGCCTGGGAGCGCCTTGGGTTCCCCCAGTCAGAGCTGGTTGATGAGGGGACAGGAACGCTTGGGGCTCTCTGCTGGAACTGCTACCTCCGAGACCCGACCACGGATAAGCGGGAGAAGATGGATAATTTCTAATTACTATTAGATCTGGCCCGTCTGTATTTTGCACTCACACCTTCACTCCATCCTGAGGGTCTCCTCCGCTCAGAGCCTGAGCCCAAACATTGATGACCTTGCACCCGAGATGAGATGCCAAGTATCTGAGCTAGCATCACAGAGCAGCACACTGAGTTCAATGGATGCTTCCTTCTGCACTTTCTCTCACGACAACAGGGCATGTTTGGTTTTCTCTTTGAGGGGAATAGTTTTGTTGAAGCTGTTGTTGGCCTGTGGAGAAATGTACTCATAAGAAATGACTCTGGAAAAGCTGCAGATAGAGCCATAAGAAATGAATGCAGCTGATTATTTAATGTTGTTTTTATAGGCAATCATTTAAGCTTTGTTAGTTCCAGGTTTAATATGTGCAATAAGTTCATTTCAATAAGTTCTGCAATAAACACTGAACCAGTCCGGCCCTCGACTAGTACCCATTTTTTAATCTAGGCCCACTGTGTATTTGAGTTCGACCCCCCTGGCATAATATATTGAATTAAAGTCAACGTCTCAGTTTTTTCAGTGAGGCTGTGGTTCACACATTTATCGATCATTTATTTCCAGAGGAAGACCCGCAGGAACTCTGCGGATTCGGAAATCACATCCTGGATCTCGTCCTGATCGCCTTCAGCGTGACGGCGTTCACCGTCATCGTGCTCCTCTTCACTGGAGCCATGATTCTGAGACACGGACGAGTGAGTACAACTGTTTAAATAAACCATTTTAATAATAAATTGAAAGGATAATAACACCGGGTGGACCTGCTGTTGTAATCCTGCAAAGAAGAGGATATTTTGAGACTTAGTTGGGCTATTCTTCTTTTTGTTTTTATTATTATTACAATTCATTTTACTTCACTTAGAAAAGATGCTTTCGGATTAAAGGCTTTCCATTGTATTTATTTATACTGAATGAAAAAAAATGTGTTTGTTTTTTTGAAAAATGCACATTTATGGGCAAAACTATTTAAAAAATAATATCTGGATTTTTTAATACATTTAAATTTAATACATTTGGTTTTTGTTTGTTTATTATTTAGATGTTCCTTTCAATGTTTATTTTGCTTAAATTATAACTATATTACTATTATTTTTTTTATCTGTCTTCACTTCCAGATTGAAGTGATTCAATAAGGGATGTTTTTTATTTTGTTTTATTAATACTGTATTAAAAAAGGTTTGTATTTTAATCAAAGGACAGGTATATATATATATATATATATATATAAAATGTTTTCTCTTTGTTTTTCTGCAGTTTAAGAAGCGCTTCACACCGGGTCGAGCCGCTGAGCCCCCCGGACCCCCCCGACCCCCGAGGCCTCAGCACACCTGTCCTCAGCACCAGCCGTACTTAGTCACATCTCTGGACTTCAGGGGGATCCTCTAAGAAGGCCAGGGAAGATGAGATATCAACGTTTTAAAAGATAACGTGAACATATTAAAAAATATTAGAACATTTTTGAAAATATTAGAAACATTTAAACGTAAACATTTGGAAATTTGAAAACCTGTCCTCAACACACGTACATAGGGCCTTTCTCATTTCTCTAATTCCCCTCCTCGACTCCTATCCTCGAATCCTATCCTCATGTCTTAGTCCCGCCCACAGGAGATGCGGGCGGAGGAGTCGAGGAGGGGAAGCTGAAATCCATTTCAGTCAGACAACTCACGTGTTCCTTTAACATGTTTATTAGAAGCAGCATATAGTTGAGTTTGGCGACTAGGCTCGGGCATCATCACTCCATAGATAAACATAGCACGATGAGTGATGATTAAATAACTAACCCCCGAGCCTACAGGTGGAAGCTGGGGTGGTGGTGGGGCAGCAAGCAGCAGCGACGTAGAGGTAGCTGCAGCAATAGCAGCAATGCATGGAGAGATATCTGCAGGTTCAATAGAGCGGCATATTAAGGAGACTTTGTTTGGTTGGTTGTAGAGTGGCAAGGGGGCGTTATGTATGAATGCAGCAGAAGTGCTCGAGTTGACTGCCTGAACTAGCTCGCAGGCTTCGCCCCATTTCCGGGTTACTACCAGAGGACCGAGGAGTCGAGGAGTCGAGGAGGGGAAATTAGTGAAATGAGAAAGGGCCTTAGTCACATCTCTGGACTTCAGATGGATCCTTTAGAAATGTCATGGAAGATGGGATATCAAAACATTAAAAAAAAATTAAAACGTTTGGAAATAAAAAAAAAATATATATATATAATAATAAAAAATATATATCTATATTTAAAAAAATATATATATATATATATTATATATATATACAAAATATTAAAACATAAACAAATAGAAAAAAATTGAAAATTAAAAAATAAACAAGTGCATGTGAAAATATTAAAACATTTGAAAAAAAAAATCTATATATTTTTTTATTATTAAATATTTTAAAAAATCTATATTTTCCATATTAAAAATATTTTTTAAAAAAATGTAACACAATTAGAAAATTGACATATTGACATATTTACATTTGGACATTTTAAATGTAATCGCAAACATTAAAAATCAATAATTAAAAACGAAATATTAACATTTTAATAATCAGGAATAAAGTGTAATCGTTTTGAAATGTTGTATTTTACCAAATGTTATCCTGAAGTGAGATCTCAATGGGATCGAGGATGAAGAGTGTTGTGAAAGAGGATCAATAGAAACAAACTAGGAGAATAAACATTGTTTCTGTAATTTCCTGATTTCAGGTTCCTCTTTCAATCTTTCCCCTCAAACAGATTTATTTCCTCAGCAGCTGAGACGTGTTTCACCTTCTGCTTTCCGTTTCCTTTAAAATACGACATTGTGTGTTTATCTTTGCAGAAAAGCCAGCAGAGACCACATCCTGTAGCCTTTTCAGCTGTATCAAAAAATCTGCAGAGCAAGCACTTCTGTTTTCTACACGTTGCATTTCAGGTGTTTGCGTTGAGACTCAAAAATAGAGTTTGAACTTTTTTTCTGTCTGATTTGACATTTTGTTTTACGTTCAGGACCCATTTCTAAAAACGGTCTCAAGGCAAACCAGAACTGCAATCACCATTAACGTGTGCTACAATGATGGTTGTCTTTTGTACTCGAGAATTGTATATTTGTACTTGTGAATTGTATATTTGTACTTGTGAATTGTATATTTGTACTTGAGATGTGTCTGATTATCTCCTGAGGGACCACAGATGTAAATTAGCATGTTTGCAAGCTTTTTACATTTTGTATTTTTTACACATGTTCATTAAGGCCCCGTCTACACGGAGACGATTTCAGTTTTATCCGCTAAAGTCCTTTATCGAATAGACGGCTCGTCCACACGAAGCCGAAACGGAGCCACGGCTTCGGAGCCTCCGAAACCGATCAACTTTGAAACCGGCTCCCAAAGTGGGCACATTTGGAGACGACACGCTTGCGGCTCCGTGTGTACGACCAATACGATCATTTCCTGAATCGATGACGCCATAGCCCCGCCTCTCCCCACCTCTCCTGCTCACCCCGCGTCATTGCTGATGCGTTTCGCCAACAACAACAACAATGGCGGATCACAGGGTTGCGTTCGTGCTCCAGACGCTACTGACCATGCTACAGATGTTAGTGCAAAATCTACAGCTTGTTTGTTTATGCCTTATGCCCATGCTCGCAAGGTCTTATTTAGTGCTGCGTACCGGTACGCCGAACCGGTACTCTACTTGTAAAAAGTTTCGGTTCAAGTCCGGTTAAAACCGGAACGTCGGGAACCGGTACTTGGACTCGCAAAAAAACTAGCACTTACGTATATTCTGGTGTCTGTGGTTATTTAAACATTCCCTGATAAACGTTATTCAGCCTCAATAAATGAGTGCTAATCCCAGTGTGCTCAGTGTACAACATCACATGTAATTTCTCCTTCGATTCACGGTTTGAAAACGTAGCATTTCGCCACATGCTAATGCTAACCAGAAGTGAAGAATTTTCAGAATAAAAGTATTAAGTTAATAGTGTGAACTTCCGGTTTTTTCAGAATAAAACTGATTTAAATTAAATTGTGTATTTAATTCAAAATTACGCCATATCAACATTGATTTTAATTTCTAACAGTATGCATGTACATCACTATGTATGTAGTATGTACTGTATAATGTACACATGTAGAGTTGTAGAAAAGACATGGTGTACAGACAGTACAGTACACTCTGACTGTACAGTCACTACAGTGTCTACTGTATAGTAGGTGTGTAACAGTGTAATGCGTATAGTCTACTCTACACTCTACCTTTCAGCAACGTTTTAGGGATTTAGGCTCAGTCAGCTCAGGGACTGTTTGGTTACTTTAGTTTGGTAAATGAAATAAATGTTTGAACTTTGTAGTAGTTCACTGTAGTTGCTGTCATAAGTCATTTGTAGACTAAGTGGCAAAAAGTTTTTTTTTTTACATTTGTACTTTGTAGAGAAATGTAGACACAGTTGGAAGGGAGCACAATAAACCTGACGAGTTTGAATTTGAGTTGATTATGAGTTCATTTTCAATTGATAATTATCTCACAATAAGTTCACTTTAGTTACTCACACAACTTGACACAAGCCATGGGTTCAGGTCCGGACTTATAAGTCCGGACCTGAACCTGAACCTCTGGACTTGAGTCCGGACCTGAACCTGAATGTGAGTCCGGGTACGCAGCACTAGTCTTATTCGCTGCTTTTGGTGTATTTTGTGGCGGAAGTACAGCGCCACTTACAGGCCCGGCATATGTACTACAGCGTCTCCAGCGGTTTCGAGCGGTCTCGTGTGGACGGACACCTTTCTTGAGCCGATTCCGTGTGGACGGAAGACTTTTTTGAAATCAACTTCGGTTCAAAATCGGTTTCGTCTCCGTGTGGACGGGGCCTAAGTTACACTGTCACTATAAAACAATTTTAAGAAATAGAAAATTACTTGTTTATTTGCACTTGTAAATTGTGACTTCAGATGTGTCTGATTATCTCCCTCGAGACCACAGATGTAAATTAGCATGTTTGCTGTATTTGATTGCTGTCCCTATCAAATAAACAAATATAATAAACACATTTTGCTTTATGGCTTTTTTTAAAAGTATAAATTATACATGTTGTGAAAAATAGCGTGCACAAAGAAATGTAATAAAGGAGGAGGAGGGGGCCGAGGAGAGAGGAGGGGAAGCAGCAGGCGGTTAGAGAAATGAGATGTCCTTCAACATGGCGCGCTGAAATCCATTTCCGGGTTACTACCGGAGGACCGAGGAGTCGAGGAGTCGAGGAGTCGAGGACCGAGGAGTCGAGGAGTCGAGGAGGGGAAATTAGAGAATTGAAAATGGGCCAAGATGTGCAATTTGGACATATAAGTAAACTCTTAATAGAAAACGTAACATTGATCCTTTATGCTGGCCCAAACCTCTCAAAACATGAACACTCATAAAGATAATAAAGGAAGTGAAAACATTAAAAGTCCTGTATCTTTGTGTTTGTTTATTTTTTACGCAAACAGAACATCTTTGTCCACATTTACAAACAATATGTAATTGTTATTTAAAAATATTTGTGTTGCTAAACATTTTTTAGTTCACACGTTTTATATGAAAAACATTTTTTTATTGAATTCTTATTTTTCTCATTTTATTTTTTTACTTTTAGAAAAAAAACAAGTCATAAAATGTTTATGTAAAAAGGTAAAATACCATGGAATGTATTTGTAAAAACACTGAATACAATAACATTTATTATTATTGCCTTTTAATTATTATTATTATTATTATTATATGGCTCATTGTTTGTACTATCTAAATGTCAGTTGTTACTGCGGAACCTACGTGCTGAAGGTCAGTGTTCCACACGGACGCTTCCAGGTGTAACACACGAGGTGCAGCCTTGAAAGCGGTTTGTTATGATTTTAGAACTGAAATCATAACTGTAGTAATAAAGTTAGTATTACAGTACAATTAAGAAAAACCGCGTTAATGTAGTTATCTTTTATATTTAATTAACTAGTTAGGACACAAAGCCCGGGAAAAGATTAACGTTGTTGTTGTTGTTATCGCCCCTTTTCTCCGTTTTCTGCCCAAAGATCAGAGGAATGTTGAACTGATAATCAGACAAACACAGGAGAAACACTCACAGGTTTGAGCTGTTTCTGTGTTGAAAGACAACCGTAAAATGCTGTTTTCCGGGTTAAAAGTGTGGACTTCGAGGAGTTTATGGATACATCGACTTCATGAAGGTGAGACACGTTTTAATATTTAATATTTTGACGTTTAATGACCGTTTGTAGCCGTTTAATGACCGTTTGTAGCCGTTAAGTGACCGTTTGTAGCCGTTAAGTGACCGTTTGTAGCCGTTAAATGACCGTTTGTAGCCGTTAAATGACCGTCAAGTGACTGTTTGTAGCCGTAAAGTGAACGTTTACTTTGTGTCAAATATAACTTATATTAGCTCTCGTTTGATAAATATTCATTCTTGATTTATAATATTTTACAAATTAAATGAAGTGGTTTCAATCAGTAATTCGGCTTATATAGCCAATGGATCAAGCATCATTTTATCAGTGAAATTGACTTTTTTTACATACACAAACTCCTCATTCATTCATTCATTCATTCATTCATTCATTCATGTGTTATGAATATTCTCAATAAATTACATTTAACTCTTCAGTCCGGCTTCTATATTTGAACTGTTTAACTGTTTGTTATATTGTTATAATGTTTGACTTCATTGTGGTGAGACACAATTTAATGTTTATTATACAGCCGTTAAGTGACCATTTACTTTGTGAAGGCAACAGGCGCCAAACTTCATACAAAATTAAGTACATTATAACTTCTATAAGCTGCAATTTGATACATATACATACTTGATTAAATATATTTCCCATATTTAATGAAGTGGTTTCAGTCCGTAATTCTGCTTATATAGCCAGTGGATCAAGCATAAGTAAAATTGACTATTGTACAACAACTCACTATTAATTCATATAGATAGATAGAATGGGAGCGATGAAACCCTCTGTAATGGTCTCACATGCAGAGCACACAGTGACATGTGTTCTCCGCTTTGAAGTGGGCAGCTATTGCACAGCGCCCGGGGAGCAATGGGGGCAGGGGGTTGTCCGGTGCCTTGCTCAAGGGCACCACGGCAGGGCAGGAGGTGAACCGGGACCTCTCCAAGTAGCAGTCCACACTCCATATTTTTGGTCGATCCGGGGACTTGCCTTAATAAGATGCTGTATTACCAGTTTACTGTCGTTCTAGTGATGTATTTTAATGTTTTATTACTGTTTTTTGTTGTAATCTAATGTATTATAATCAAGTGCAATAATCTGCATTCTGTATGTACTTCACTTAAGTCATTTATCTGAATTGATAACCCATTTTTTGTATTATCTACACAAAATCCTGTTTCTCCCATCTGTCTGTGTGTGTGTGTGTTTGGATGACCTTCTGACTGAAGTAGTGTGTGTGTTTGGATGACCTTCTGACTGAAGTAGTGTGTGTGTTTGGATGACCTTCTGACTGAAGTAGTGTGTGTGTGTTTGGATGACCTTCTGACTGAAGTAGTGTGTGTGTTTGGATGACCTTCTGACTGAAGTAGTGTGTGTGTGTTTGGATGACCTTCTGACTGAAGTAGTGTGTGTGTTTGGATGACCTTCTGACTGAAGTAGTGTGTGTGTTTGGATGACCTTCTGACTGAAGTAGTGTGTGTGTGTTTGGATGACCTTCTGACTGAAGTAGTGTGTGTGTTTGGATGTCAACCAAGTTCTCAAAGACTCCGAGCATAAGCAGGTCTACCTCAAAAAGTAACTCAGAAACAGATTCACCCTTGTTATGTTTTGTAACCACTGGTTCTCCAGGTATTAATGGAGGTGGAAAAGCTCGTTATTCCTCTTGCAGTCCAAAGGTTTGTATTGTTGGAGGCGGCCCGGCGGGTTTCTACACAGCTCAACACCTGATCAAGGTATTTCCTGTTTCCATTCCCTGTGTTGGGGATGTTTGTGAATAAAGGCATTCGTAGTTTCAAGTTTCAAGTGCTGGAGGAAGCATTCAGACCCTTCAGCTAAGGGAGTTGCACGTGTGGGTGATGATAAAGCAGTGTTTTCTTTTATTGGTTGACATCCAAACACACACACACTACTTCAGTCAGAATGTCATCCCATCACACACACACACACACACACACACACACACACACACACACACACACACACACACACACACACACACACACACACACACACACACACACACACACACACACACACACACACACACACACACACACACACACACACACACACACACACACACACACACACACACACACACACACACACACATTTTTCTTTTAAACACAAAGTTAAAACATTCCAAAATAAGGCAGTCAAATTTGGGATAACCCTTTGATACTGACGAACAAAGGCGGTGTAGATTAAAAAAATATATTTCAAACGTTTAAAAAAAACAGAAAATACAGAAATACCAATAAATGTATTTGTTTTAATTTAATTACTTAATATACTTTTTTTTTTAATACAGAAAAACCATAACATTTATTGGTGGAAACAGAAAAATACACTATTATGTATTTGTATAAAATATGTATAAATTCAAATCAATTTGTGAAGAAAATCTAAATAAAATGTGTTTGTAAATCAACTAAATCACCTTATTGTGTATTTGTTAAAAGTAGCATTTGGAGGAAAATTCAAATTGTTCCAAATGATCCATTTAGACACAAAAACCAAAGTTACCCTTTCATTAAAGGCAGTTAGATTTGAAACCTTTATTCCTGACGTACTAAGATGGTGCAGATTCTCCTTTACTTATAGACCAATTCCCCCGCTAACAATGAAACAAAACCTTCCAAATCAATCATTGGGAATAAAATACTTGGTTTGTAATGAATCACTGGAGCAGAGCGAAACACCCTGTCTGGAAACTCAGGTGATTGTTTTCTCTTTTTTTTAATATAATTAATATCCGTGTTCTTTAAAATGTTGGCACCAAATACTGCGTGCTTGAACCTTGAACAAACACTATCAGTGATAACACACACACACACACACACACACACACACACACACACACACACACACACACACACACACACACACACACACACACACACACACACACACACACACACACACACACACACACACACATACCATGTATACATCACTTCAGGGGACATTACATTGACTTACATGCATTTCCTGGAGACTTATCCTAACCTTAACCATAATCAACACATGCCTAACCCTAAACCTAACCCTTACCCTTAACCTAATCCTTACCCTAACCCTAACCCTAACCCTTACCCTTAACCCTAACCCTTACCCTAACCCTTACCCTTAACCCTAACCCTAACCCTTACCCTTAACCCTAACCCTTACCCTAACCCTTACCCTTAACCCTAACCCTAACCCTTACCCTTAACCCTAACTCTTAACCTAACCCTAATCCTAACCAAGTCTTCACCCTAAAATTAATGATTCCTCTTATGGGGACCTCCAATTTGTCCCCGTAAGGGAGGCGAGTCCCCACACGTGACTGTGTAAACAATTTAGGTCCCCACAAGTATAATAATGCTAGGCCACACGCACACACACACACACACACACACACACACACACACACACACACACACACACACACACACACACACACACACACACACACACACACACACACACACACACACACACACACACACACACACACACACACACACACACACACACACACACACTGGAGCCTGCTCATATTTCTAACCGTGCATAAAGATCAGGAAATAGATTCTTTAGACGCCTTGTGTAAATAAAGCTGCATTATGAGTTTCCAGACATGACTCTCCTTATTCCTGTGACTGAATAATGAATAGCTTGTTGTGTATTTGAAGCTTCTGTGCACATGAAAGAGCTCAGAAATCATATTATCAGTTATTATCATGCACAGGTCCATTTCTCTACTTTCACCTGTACATAATAAAACCTCTTGTGTATCATTTTGGTCGTTTTTGAATTAGCCTACATTTTTGGGATTTTACGTCCATTGTTTTCCTGATATCCTAAATTTGAATAAGAATCCCAATAAACCAATGAATATATCCAATCATAATGTCCGCTATTTGTGTTCTTTTTTGCCACTCAAATAACTTTAAACTTGATTTGTTTGTGCTGAGTGTTGTCTCTTTAACACGGTTTATTGGATACCAAAAGTCACTCAGCTTAAAGACACATGGTTTTATAATTATGTCCACGCATTATGTTCATGTTCTATCTGTTTGTCCTCTCAGGCTCGTCCGGACGTTACGGTGGATATTTACGAGCGTCTTCCCGTCCCCTTCGGTCTGGTCCGGTTCGGAGTGGCTCCCGATCATCCAGAAGTTAAGGTACTTTATCCTGAATAAAATACATTTAAGGAGATTTTATCTTGTGTTCAATAATACCTGTACATGTGCCTGGTGATTTTTGAATAAGCGCTTGAATTTAACGACAATGTTTCCGCTGGTATCCTCGACTAAACGATAATAATATGTTCCTACATCTTTTCCTTTTTTAAGGACAAGTGTGTAGGTTTGATGTGAGGGGGGGGTCTATTAGGAGAGGGTCCTTTTTAAGGCTTGAAACTTGTATACAAACATCAATCACATTATTATTATTCTTTTTAAAGATGGCTTACGATACGATATTACTTTATTTGTCAGATCAAGTCTGAAATGCTCCTTGCGTCACAGCAGCTCCATGTCCAACATCAACAGACAGGTATCCAGACACAACACATGAAACACAAACAACAAACATTTAACATAACGGCACAATCAGTGATCTGGGGTCAGCTCTGTGTTCACTGAGAGGACTGACTGATGCTCAAAGGATGCTTCAGTCTGACCTTATTGAATGGTGGGACCCTGTATCTCCATCAGATGGTAGCAGTTCATACTCACTGTTCAGAGCATGGTTTGGGTCAGAGAGGATGTGGTTGGACAGCCTCACTAGGTTGTTATGATGAGTCAGAGTCTCTCACAGGTGGACCAACAATCTTTGAGCAGATGTTTAACAGGTGGAGTAGTTTTGTTTTTAAAGCTGCTGACAAACACTTGTACCAGGTAGTATTGCAGTACTGCAGAATAGACATGATCACAGATGTAAAGAACAACAGAATAATTTCTCTGCTCGCCTCAAAAGACCTGAGACGGCGGAGAAAATAAATCCTTTGTTTTGTCCTTTTGCTCAGATTCAATGATCCTTCCATGACAGCAGACGGTCATCATTACACCCACGTGTTAGTATGGAACTCCCTGCTTGGTTTCATCTGTATGGATGACCATGGGACTTTATGGGAGTCAGATGGAGCCAAACATGATTTCCTCAGTTTTCTTGGTGTTGATCTCAAGAGCTATCAGTCCACTCGACCACCTGATTACAGCCTGTTGGTGCAGCTCAGGGTCGTCTGTGTTACTGAGCAGAGATCTCTTCAGTATCATCAGAGTACTTCATGATGACTTGATTTGGTGTGTTGGTAGAGAGTAAAGAGCACAGCTGAACTCACGCAGCCCTGGGGGGGGGGGGGGGCTACATTGGTTGTGATGGCAGATGACAGGGTTTTGTTAACCTTCACAAGTTGCTATCTACTAGTGAGGAAAGCAGCATACCAGTACATCAGGTATGGATTTACTTCCATTTTGGCCATTTTTGACCCCAAGATGTCTGCTTGTATTGTGTTGAATGCTGATGAGAAGTCTAGGAAGAGGGCTCTAGCATAGGTGTTGTGTTTATCTTAACGTTTAGTGATGATGTGAACCAGAGTGGCCACAGCATCTTCCGTACCGCCCCCTTGCTTATAGGCAAATTGGTATGGATCCAGTTTGTCTTGTTGTACTGATAAGACATTCTTTCTAGTGATTTCATAATCCCTGAGGTGAGGGCTATTGGTCTGCAGTCCTCATGTTCTTTTGGGCAGCGGTGTGAAGTGTTCCATGACAGAGGGATGGTGTGTCAATAGAAGCCTGAAAGATGGGTTGCCTCACTGGAGCCAGCTTAGTAGCAACGTTTTTCACCTACCTGTGGCTTAAGGTAGGAGAAGCAACATATTCATATAGTCCTCCCCAGCATTATATGAGATTACATCAGCTTTAAACACCTGCAGGCTCTTTGTTCTGAGTCCTAGAGAAAGTAAGAGTCGTGATGCAAGTTTTCCACTGATAATAATAAGCATCTCGGGCGTGTTATAGAAACGGTTGGTTCGTAAAAACAAAAATATTCCCTTCTTCGTAAACAGCTGTTAATCCTCTGAGAAACTGATTATAGAGGAATGTCACTCTCTGTTGACAGTACTACTGACACACCTGGGTGTGTGTGCATGTGTGTCTGTGTGTGCATGTGTGTCTGTGTGTGTGTGTGTCTGTGTGTGCATGTGTGTGTGTCTGTGTGTGTGTCTGTGTGTGCATGTGTGTCTGTGTGTGTGTGTGTCTGTGTGTGCATGTGTGTCTGTGTGTGTGTGCGTGGGTGTGTGTGTGTGTGTGTGTGTCTGTGTGTGCATGTGTGTCTGTGTGTGTGTGTGCAGAGTCAGACCCAGCGGCATACATACATCTGTGGGCGGGCATTTTATTTACCAGTGCGGGCCCACCCCCACACGTACATTTCCCGGTAATTATTAATTGGGGGGGGGGGTTTAACAGATCGCCACTTGTGAATTGTTAACGTTCTGATTTCAGTCAGAATGTCATCCACTCACACAAACCCACTCAGACACACTCAGACATACGCAGACACACGCAGACACACTCAGACACACGCAGACACACTCAGACACACGCAGACACACTCAGACACACGCAGACACACTCAGACACACGCAGACACACTCAGACACACGCAGACACACTCAGACACACTCAGACACACTCAGACACACTCAGACACACGCAGACACACGCAGACACACTCAGACACACTCAGACACACTCAGACACACTCAGACACACTCAGACACACTCAGACACACGCAGACACACTCAGACACACGCAGACCCACCTCAGACACACTCAGACACACTCAGACACACTCAGACACACTCAGACACACTCAGACACACGCAGACACACTCAGACACACGCAGACACACTCAGACACACTCAGACACACTCAGACACACGCAGACACACGCAGACACACTCAGACACACTCAGACACACTCAGACACACGCAGACACACTCAGACACACTCAGACACACTCAGACACACTCAGACACACCTGAACACACTCAGACACACCCAGACACACTCAGACACACTCAGACACACTCAGACACACTCAGACACACCCAGACACACTCAGACACACTCAGACACACTCAGACACACTCAGACACACTCAGACACACGCAGACACACTCAGACACACTCAGACACACTCAGACACACTCAGACACACTCAGACACACTCAGACACACTCAGACACACTCAGACACACGCAGACACACTCAGACACTCAGACACACTCAGACACACGCAGACACACTCAGACACACTCAGACACACTCAGACACACTCAGACACACTCAGACACACTCAGACACACTCAGACACACTCAGACACACGCAGACACACTCAGACACACTCAGACACACTCAGACACACTCAGACACACGCAGACACATTCAGACACACTCAGACACACTCAGACACACTCAGACACACGCAGACACACTCAGACACACTCAGACACACGCAGACACACTCAGACACACCAGACACACGCAGACACACGCAGACACACTCAGACACACGCAGACACACGCACACTCAAGACACACTCAGACACACTCAGACACACTCAGACACACTCAGACACACTCAGACACACTCAGACACACGCAGACACACTCAGACACACTCAGACACTCAGACACACTCAGACACACTCAGACACACTCAGACACACTCAGACACACGCAGACACACGCAGACACACTTTCACTTTCAAATCTAAGCGTGCAGCGAGTGCCTCCTGCTGTCAGCACAGACATTACATATATAGCATCTCTGCAATAGAGTTTAAGGTTCAAGGCTTTTATTCTCATGTGAACAGAGCTACTGTTATGTCGATGAAAATCTGAGGTCACAGACTCCTCCAACAGAACAACAGAAAGAATTGTGCAAGTAAATACAAAGACAAGTAGTGAAATAGTGCAGTTTAAAGTTTGGCATGTCAGTTAATGGGTAAATAAAGCGGGTTGGACTAATGTCAACGTCTAAAACAGCTTTTGTGAGAGCATCATTTCTAATAGTCTTAAACAATGAAGTGACCTTTTGACCTGACGTTGATAATTGTTTTAACCCTGTGATTTATCCTCATCCTACTCATTGTTCCCGGCTCAGAACCAAACACGCCGAAGCTGCTTTTAGTTTTTACTCTCCCCAAAAATGGAACAAACTTCCCGAAACCTGAGTTTTTCACCAACGCTGAGTTCTGCTAAAAACATTACTTTTTTCAGCTGCTTACCCAGAAGCCTTTTAACTTGTTTCAGCACCTACTGTATTTACAATTTGGTTTTTAAACTACAGCTGCAGCTGAGAAAAGTTTGAGTGTGTATATATAGACATTTTTATTGATTGGGATAAACCCCTTGAGATGCACCATCTCGTTTTCAAGGGGGTCCCGACAATAGCAACAACTTACAGACATAGACAAAAAGACAAAATGCAAAACATGACACACAAGACAAACCACATACAGTCTGTGAAGTGAAATTCAAGCAATGCATACAATCATTACAATTTGAGACGGTCAAGCAAATCAGTTTCATTAATAACAAGTACAGACCAGTTGAAAGTGAGATGATAATGCATGTTTAAATAAACCCAATGATGACAGAGATCTAATGGCAGCAGGTCAAGTATTCCAGTCAGTTGGGGCTTTGAACATGAACGCTCTTCTGCCAATCCATTTTTTTTTGTGTGTGTGAGGAAGTCCACGGATTGGTCCAAACGTTACGTCACTGTACCCAGGAAGAAAAAGAGAAATGTCCAACGAGGCGTTCTGGGGCAGCACAGACAGGTCTTCTCTGTGTTAGAGGTTTACTCGCTACAGGGTGTACTTTGAGGGTTTGTGACTCTAGACCGTTTACATGCAGAACAACCTTCATAACACAAGGGGACGGGTGATAACCAGAACAGCATGACATGGGAGCTTTAATATACAGCGCACTGAGATTTTTGACAAATTGTAAAGCACTTACGCATCACTGTACCCTGTATGCCATCACTTACTGTACGGAGGCTCAGTCACTGGTACTTTTTCATTTACAAAGCCATGTTGGATAAACTACCATCTTATATCTGCTCCCTGATCTCTCGGCGAATTGAAAGTACTTATTGCCTGAGATCGCATGCTGTGGTTTTATTAAATGTGCCAAGTGCTAGGACTGTCTTAGGGAAGAAAGCTTTTAGATGTGCAGCTCCACTAACATGGAACAGTCTGCAAAAAGAATGGAAAATTACCAAGCTAGTACCACTACATGTTTTTAAAGCTCGGTTGGATGCTACAAAATCAGATGCTGTTGGTACCTGTACATGTGGTTAGATATGTAAATTGTAATCCCTGTACATTTTGCTGTATGATGTCCTTTTGTTGTTCTGTTGTTTATGTCTTCTTGTGGAACCTACTGCTGCAGGTCTCCCTTGAAAAAGAGATCATTGATCTCAATGGGATTTCACCTGATAAATAAAGGTTTTGAATTGAATTGAATACCTGTGATTTTTCCATCCTCTCCTCAGAACGTCATCAACACTTTCACGCAGACGGCCCGACACAAGCGCTGCAGTTTCTATGGCAACGTGAACGTGGGGAAGGATTTGAGCGTGACGGAGCTGCAGGAAGCGTACCATGCTGTCGTTCTGGTGAGAACATTAAAAACATCACTTTAAATAACAGCCGTTCTCCTGACATCGTGCATTGATCTGTTGTTGTGTCAGAGTTACGGTGCGGAGGGCAACCGGAGGATGGGCGTGCCGGGAGAAGATCTGTCCGGAGTTTATTCTGCCAAAGATTTTGTGGGATGGTACAACGGGCTCCCGAGCTGCAGAGAGGTGCGTATTCAGCCTCCTTTCCTTAAAACTGTTTTAATCAAGCCTCTGATCATAGACATGAGGACTTTTAGCGGATCAAATGTTCCCTGCATTATTTTCAATAAAATCACAATTTTCATCTGGACAAATGTCTTTCAATGACATTTTTTTTTCGCTCGGAGTCCCAGCAGATGTTTTGGGGATGTGAAAGGAAAAAAAGTGTTATTTTTCTTTGTACTGCCTTGAACGTATTGTTCCTGTATTGTTTTGTAAGCGTACTGTTCTATGTATTATAGGTCACATTTTTGGTCACTTTATGTAGTATATACGGAGGCGTGTGGCGCAGTGGGTTGTGCGTTGGTGATCAGTGGGGCACAGGTTCAAACCCCACTGCAGTCGTTGAGCCACTTCACCCCAAAGTGCTCCTGTGGGGATTGTCCACAGTATTGAGTATGTACGTCGCTGTGGATAAAAGCGTCTAACAACATGTAATATATGAAGTGTTTAGCTTGTATTGTCAAATGATACTTACACTGTCTGTTAGAGCCAGTATTTTGATTTGATAAGAAAGGCCACCTAATTGTGACGTCTGTAGTCAACGCACTATAAAAGACTACAATTCCCACAGTGCCTCCTCTAAAGAGACAGAGATGGAGGAACAATCAAATACCCTTTAAGTTATGAAGTTATATAAGCCTTATCAAGAAAGAAAGAATACCTAAGCTGTTATTTTATTTGAGTTTTGCTTATTTCTTTTGACTATTGGAAAGGCCTCTTTTCTTTGTTGTACATGTAAGTTTGTTGTTTTATTTTGAGCGAACACATCGCTTAATATCATCCACACCATCGGAGGCCAAGCAACTCTTCAAATTGTAATCAATATAAAGGAAATAAAACGAGTTAAAACCTGTCTGTTTAAGGTTTTGATGGATAAACAAGGAAGGAAGCCACTGTCCGTTATGTGTGATTGCACCATTGGGAATGCCTGGAATTTCGCTGTAGTGACAATAAAGGAATCTAATCTAATCTCAGTGTCTCTCTTCCTAATGTTTCCCGTGCAGCTGGGTCCGGACCTGAGTTGTGAGACAGCTGTGATTCTGGGACAGGGCAACGTTGCTCTGGACGTAGCGAGAGTCCTGCTGTCGCCCATCGACTTGTTAAAGGTGAGAAACACACTCTGGTGTTTAAACTAAGGATAAAGTGATGGATGGATAGCAGGAAACACAGGTGGGACATTTAGGGGGGGTTGTAACTTCATCTCTGTTGGTTTCACTGTGAGATGTCCACTTTTTGGCATACATCATTTGTTTGGTGAAAACAACTTACATTAAAACGAGAGGCAAGTTTCTTTATTTATAGCACTTTCAACACAAGGCAATACATGAATAAAAGTTACAGTGCAGTGCGAGATGTGAAAAGTTCAATTAAAAGCAGTGGCAAACAGAAAAGTCTTCAGCCCAGTGAATACACCTTTTGGGAAATACCACCTGAATTAAAAATGCACTTTATGGCCCGTTTACAAATCAACAATTCAGGAGGGGAATGTTATTGTAAAGACTAAAATGGGGGATATTTCTTTCTGTGTTGCTGCAGAAGACGGACATCACTCAGCCGGCCCTCGAGGTTCTGGAGGAGAGTCGGGTCCGAAGGGTTCTGATCGTCGGGAGGAGAGGACCGACACAGATCGCAGGAACTGTCAAGGTGTGTTTCAGAGGAGAGGGAATAAGAAACTGTTACTGGTGTTGACTTTTAAAGGTCACCTATTCTGCTGAATCCTCTTCTTCACGTCTCTTCTACATCAACATGTGTCCCCTCTTCTTCACGTCTCTTCTACATCAATATGTGTCCCCTATTCTCCATGTCTCTTCTACATCAACATGTGTCCCCTCTTCTCCATGTCTCTTCTACATCAACATGTGTCCCCTCTTCTCCATGTCTCTTCTACATCAACATGTGTCCCCTCTTCTTCATGTCTCTTCTACATCAACATGTGTCCCCTCTTCTCCATGTCTCTTCTACATCAACATGTGTCCCCTCTTCTCCATGTCTCTTCTACATCAACATGTGTCCCCTCTTCTGCATGTCTCTTCTACATCAACATGTGTCCCCTCTTCTTCATGTCTCTTCTACATCAACATGTGTCCCCTCTTCTTCATGTCTCTTCTACATCAACATGTGTCCCCTCTTCTTCATGTCTCTTCTACATCAACATGTGTCCCCTCTTCTTCATGTCTCTTCTACATCAACATGTGTCCCCTCTTCTTCATGTCTCTTCTACATCAACATGTGTCCCCTCTTCTGCATGTCTCTTCTACATCAACATGTGTCCCCTCTTCTTCATGTCTCTTCTACATCAACATGTGTCCCCTCTTCTCCATGTCTCTTCTACATCACATGTGTCCCCTCTTCTTCACGTCTCTTCTACATCAACATGTGTCCCCTCTTCTTCACGTCTCTTCTACATTAACATGTGTCCCCTCTTCTTCATGTCTCTTCTACATCAACATGTGTCCCCTCTTCTTCATGTCTCTTCTACATCAACATGTGTCCCCCTCTTCTTCATGTCTCTTCTACATCAACATGTGTCCCCTCTTCTTCATGTCTCTTCTACATCAACATGTGTCCCCTCTTCTTCATGTCTCTTCTACATCAACATGTGTCCCCTCTTCTTCATGTCTCTTCTACATCAACATGTGTCCCCTCTTCTTCATGTCTCTTCTACATCACACGTGTCCCCTCTTCTGCATGTCTCTTCTACATCAACATGTGTCCTCTCTTCTTCATGTCTCTTCTACATCAACATGTGTCCCCTCTTCTTCATGTCTCTTCCACATCAACATGTGTCCCCTCTTCTTCATGTCTCTTCTACATCAACATGTGTCCCCTCTTCTCCATGTCTCTTCTACATCAACATGTGTCCCCTCTTCTTCACGTCTCTTCTACATTAACATGTGTCCCCTCTTCTTCATGTCTCTTCTACATCAACATGTGTCCCCTCTTCTCCATGTCTCTTCTACATCAACATGTGTCCCCTCTTCTTCATGTCTCTTCTACATTAACATGTGTCCCCTCTTCTTCATGTCTCTTCCACATCAACATGTGTCCCCTCTTCTTCATGTCTCTTCTACATCAACATGTGTCCCCTCTTCTCCATGTCTCTTCTACATTAACATGTGTCCCCTCTTCTTCATGTCTCTTCTACATCAACATGTGTCCCCTCTTCTCCATGTCTCTTCTACATCAACATGTGTCCCCTCTTCTTCATGTCTCTTCTACATTAACATGTGTCCCCTCTTCTTCATGTCTCTTCTACATCAACATGTGTCCCCTCTTCTTCATGTCTCTTCCACATCAACATGTGTCCCCTCTTCTTCATGTCTCTTCTACATCAACATGTGTCCCCTCTTCTCCATGTCTCTTCTACATCAACATGTGTCCCCTCTTCTTCATGTCTCTTCTACATTAACATGTGTCCCCTCTTCTTCATGTCTCTTCTACATCAACATGTGTCCCCTCTTCTTCATGTCTCTTCTACATCAACATGTGTCCCCTCTTCTCCATGTCTCTTCTACATCAACATGTGTCCCCTCTTCTTCACGTCTCTTCTACATCAACATGTGTCCCCTCTTCTTCATGTCTCTTCTACATTAACATGTGTCCCCTCTTCTTCATGTCTCTTCTACATCAACATGTGTCCCCTCTTCTGCATGTCTCTTCTACATCAACATGTGTCCCCTCTTCTTCACGTCTCTTCTACATCAACATGTGTCCCCTCTTCTCCATGTCTCTTCTACATCAACATGTGTCCCCTCTTCTTCACGTCTCTTCTACATCAACATGTGTCCCCTCTTCTTCACGTCTCTTCTACATCAACATGTGTCCCCTCTTCTTCACGTCTCTTCTACATCAATATGTGTCCCCTATTCTCCATGTCTCTTCTACATCAACATGTGTCCCCTCTTCTTCATGTCTCTTCTTCATCAACATGTGTCCCCTCTTCTTCATGTCTCTTCTACATCAACATGTGTCCCCTCTTCTTCACGTCTCTTCTACATCAACATGTGTCCCCTCTTCTTCACGTCTCTTCTACATCAACTTGTGTCCCCTCTTCTTCACGTCTCTTCTACATCAATATGTGTCCCCTATTCTCCATGTCTCTTCTACATCAACATGTGTCCCCTCTTCTTCATGTCTCTTCTACATCAACATGTGTCCCCTCTTCTTCATGTCTCTTCTACATCAACATGTGTCCCCTCTTCTTCATGTCTCTTCTACATCAACATGTGTCTCCTCTTCTTCATGTCTCTTCTACATCAACATGTGTCCCCTCTTCTTCATGTCTCTTCTACATCAACATGTGTCCCCTCTTCTTCATGTCTCTTCTACATCAACATGTGTCCCCTCTTCTTCATGTCTCTTCTACATCAACATGTGTCCCCCTCTTCTTCATGTCTCTTCTACATCAACATGTGTCCCCTCTTCTTCATGTCTCTTCTACATCAACATGTGTCCCCTCTTCTTCATGTCTCTTCTACATCAACATGTGTCCCCTCTTCTTCATGTCTCTTCTACATCAACATGTGTCCCCTCTTCTTCATGTCTCTTCTACATCAACATGTGTTCCCTCTTCTTCATGTCTCTTCTTCATCAACATGTGTCCCCTCTTCTTCACGTCTCCTCTACATCAACATGTGTCTCCTCTTCTTCATGTCTCTTCTTCATCAACATGTGTCCCCTCTTCCTCATGTCTCTTCTTCATGTCTCTTCTACATCAACATGTGTCCCCTCTTCTTCATGTCTCTTCTACATCAACATGTGTCCCCTCTTCTTCATGTCTCTTCTACATCAACGTGTGTCCCCTCTTCTTCATGTCTCTTCTACATCAACGTGTGTCCCCTCTTCTCCATGTCTCTTCTACATCAACGTGTGTCCCCTCTTCTCCATGTCTCTTCTACATCAACGTGTGTCCCCTCTTCTTCATGTCTCTTCTACATCAACATGTGTCCCCTCTTCTTCATGTCTCTTCTACATCAACATGTGTCCCCTCTTCTTCATGTCTCTTCTACATCAACGTGTGTCCCCTCTTCTTCATGTCTCTTCTACATCAACGTGTGTCCCCTCTTCTCCATGTCTCTTCTACATCAACGTGTGTCCCCTCTTCTCCATGTCTCTTCTTCATCAACATGTGTCCCCTCTTCTTCATGTCTCTTCTACATCAACATGTGTCCCCTCTTCTTCATGTCTCTTCTACATCAACATGTGTCCTCTCTTCTTCATGTCTCTTCTACATCAACATGTGTCCCCTCTTCTTCATGTCTCTTCTACATCAACATGTGTCCCCTCTTCTTCATGTCTCTTCTACATCAACATGTGTCCCCTCTTCTTCATGTCTCTTCTACATCCAACATGTGTCCCCCTCTTTCTTCATGTCTCTTCTACATCACATGTGTCCCCTCTTCTTCATGTCTCTTCTACATCAACATGTGTCCCCTCTTCTTCATATCTCTTCTACATCAACATGTGTCCCCTCTTCTCCATGTCTCTTCTACATCAACATATGTCCCCTCTTCTCCATGTCTCTTCTACATCAACATGTGTCCCCTCTTCTTCATATCTCTTCTACATCAACACGTGTCCCCTCTTCTTCATGTCTCTTCTACATCAACATGTGTCCCCTCTTCTTCATGTCTCTTCTACATCAACATGTGTCCCCTCTTCTTCATGTCTCTTCTACATCAACATGTGTCCCCTCTTCTTCATGTCTCTTCTACATCAACATGTGTCTCCTCTTCTTCATGTCTCTTCTACATCAACATGTGTCCCCTCTTCTTCATGTCTCTTCTACATCAACATGTGTCTCCTCTTCTTCATGTCTCTTCTACATCAACATGTGTCCCCTCTTCTTCCATGTCTCTTTCTACATCAACATGTGTCCCCTCTTCTTTCATGTCTTCTTCTAACATCAACATGTGTCCCCTCTTCTTCATGTCTCTTCTACATCAACATGTGTCCCCTCTTCTTCATGTCTATTCTACATCAACATGTGTCCCCTCTTCTTCATGTCTCTTCTACATCAACATGTGTCCCCTCTTCTTCATGTCTCTTCTACAATCAACATGTGTTCCCCTCTTCTTCATGTCTCTTCTACATCAACATGTGTCCCTCTTCTTCATGTCTCTTCTACATCAACATGTGTCCCCCTCTTCTTCACTGTCTCCTCTACATCAACATGTGTCCCCTCTTCTCACGTCTCCTCTACATCACATGTGTTCTCTTCTTCATGTCTCTTCTTCATCAACATGTGTCCCCTCTTCCTCATGTCTCTTCTACATCAACATGTGTCCCCTCTTCTTCATGTCTCTTCTACATCAACATGTGTCCCCTCTTCTTCATGTCTCTTCTACATCAACATGTGTCCCCTCTTCTTCATGTCTCTTCTACATCAACATGTGTCCCCTCTTCTTCATGTCTCTTCTACATCAACATGTGTCCCCTCTTCTTCATGTCTCTTCTACATCAACATGTGTCCCCTCTTCCTCATGTCTCTTCTACATCAACATGTGTCCCCTCTTCTTCATGTCTCTTCTACATCAACATGTGTCCCCTCTTCTTCATGTCTCTTCTACATCAACATGTGTCCCCTCTTCTTCATGTCTCTTCTACATCAACATGTGTCCCCTCTTCTTCATGTCTCTTCTACATCAACATGTGTCCCCTCTTCTTCATGTCTCTTCTACATCAACATGTGTCCCCTCTTCTTCATGTCTCTTCTACATCAACATGTGTCCCCTCTTCTTCATGTCTCTTCTACATCAACATGTGTCCCCTCTTCTTCATGTCTCTTCTACATCAACATGTGTCCCCTCTGTGGAAAGAGACTCTGAAAGTTTCAGGAACAAAGTTTCTCTCTCTTTTTGATCCATTTCTATAAAAACCTGTCTGAAAATAAGCTGATCAGATTTTGGCCACTTTATGATGTCATCACGATGTTTTGTCTTCTGTAACCATTAGCCAATCAGCAACCAAGGTAACCCCCCCCCCCCCCCCCCCCCTTATCACCTGAATCTCCTCCTAGAGCTCCATTGAGTTCTTTGTAACCAAATGTCTCTCAGAGGGGCGTGGGGAGGGGCTCCTTATTTTCATCTAAAGTAACAGACAGAGAATCAGTACTTTGGAAACAGGGCTGAAACAGAGGGGATTATGGGTAATGCTGCAATGATCTGTTTGGTGTTTCAGCCAATCAGAGACAGGCTCTGGATATATCTGAGACCTGTGATATACTGATGAAGAAGAGGATGATCGGGGACCTTTAAAGAAGAAACATGTTTTCCAGCGCTGTATGATGTTCTGCTCTCTTCGTCTGCAGGAGGTTAGAGAAATGGTGAATCTTCCGAACACCAGACCGGACATGTTGGCGTCGGATTTTGAGGGCGTCAAAGAAGCTCTTAAAGGTACACAATATATACAAATGATAAATGTTCTTTCCTTTTCCAGCAGACAACAGTTAAGCATGGAGACTTAAGGCCCGACACACCGGTCCCTACTCAGATTGGTGTGTCCCGCACCGTCGTGTCTTTTCGGCAAAAGGCCGTCGGCTAAAGAAATCACTCTGATTGGCTGTTCAGCCAGCGAATCAGTGCGTGAGGAGCGAAACGGAAGTGAAGAAGGCACACAGACGGCTATTATTTTTATTTTCATTTTCCAGTAAACATGTTTTCGATAAGTCGTTATGTGAAACAGTCTGTGATGGACGAGAGTGAAAATGGAACGCACGCTATTTGTTATTTGTTTATATCACGCAGTCTGTCTTCCGGTTGTTGCCTCTTTTGAATGACGAATACATGCTACCGCCGCCTGCTGGTAAGGAGAGGTATTGCCACCCCCGCATGCGCAGTGCGTTCGTGCTGCTTGGCCGTCGGCTGAAGTCTTTGCGGTGTGTTCCAGTGCGACTGTTGGCCAAGACGCAGGAGACGCAGAGACGCAGGAGACGCCACAGTCGGGTCCGTCGGGACGTGTTCTCTGGGGTCAGCTCGGTGCGTCCGGCCCATCGAGGCACGAAATACTGATATGAACCTGAACATGAGCAGAATATGTCTTCTTTAACTAGATATACTGCACAATATACACATTTACATTTAAATGCACGATCAATACTTTTACTTGATGTACTTACACTACCTTTTACTGCACAAATAATACTTTTTACTACCTTTTTCATGTACAATCAATATTTTAACTGTAAGTACTCTTATCACAATATTCTGCACAATCCATACTTCTACTTGAAGAGCTTTAGCTGCATTTTAATACACGACCAATACCTTTACATTAAATACATTGTGTACTTTCTTAATACACAATCCAATACCTTTACATTAAATACATTGTGTACTTTGTTAATACACAATCAAATACATTGTGTACTTTTTTAATACACAATCAAATACATTGTGTACTTTTTTAATACACAATCAAATACATTGTGTACTTTTTTAATACACAATCAAAACTTCTACTTTAAATGCATTTTGCTGATAATAATAATAAAATACTTTTATTTTAGTTTTGAATGCAGGACTTTGAGTGTTTTCACAGTACTTTCACTGCATGTAATACATGTTAGCATCCTCCACCACTCTGTGAGTTTGTGATGAACACCCTGCCTGGTGCAGACAGTTGAAAGCGTCAGAAGGAAGTGAGCAATGCCTGCTGTGGTTAACGTTGAGAGACATGTAGCCCTCAAACAGCGAGGGGCATGGAAACTAAACACAGTTGGTGGTGAACGCTCTGCAGCAGAGTCATGCAACCCTTCATCCTCGTGACCTTGAAGCATCTGATTGTCCTTGCAAAGATATAAATGACTGATAGTGATAACAGCGTCTTTGTTCAGGGCTAGATACACAAAAACAAACCTTGATGTGATCTCTGTAAATCATGATAAGCTGGAAGTAACTGAGCAAAGACCATGGGGGTTTGAAGAAGATCACACCCACACACTTTCTGTATTTACTGACATGCCGTTATATTTAAAGTATATTTACCGTTTTATCGTGCTGACATCTGTTGTTTGTGTATTTGAAGCCAGCTGCAATCACCTTGATCTTGTCTCTGTTAATCATGATAAGTGACGCACACATATTTATTAAAATGGTGAAATATTTACATTTTGTTTAACGGCCCGTCCACACTACAGCTTCAAAAAAAGCTTGGAGCTGGGCGTGTCTGAAGCTCGACCAACAACCAATCACATGAATCTCCCGCCCCTGACACACAAGCAGCGGTTTGATTGGCTAGAGCTTGTACTGGCATATGATTTGATTGGCTGACGCTTCCACCGAAAGCTTCAGAAGCTTCAAAAGTTGAACATTGCTCAACTGTTGCAGCCAAACGCCAGGAAAGCTCCGCTCTGCTTCCCACAATGCAGTTCGGCGAAAAGTGACGTCACCTCATTCAAAGTGAATGGGCAGAAGCTTCTTCCAACGCCGCTGTGTGGACGGGCCGTTACAGATTTTCCTTTTTTGAAGCGTTTTGTTATGCTCTCTTAAGGCACCAGACTCGATTGACAAAGACAGAGATTTTGTCTTGCAGAACAGAGGACTTGCCGTTCTACTTCTGCCTCCATCTTTAAGTTAGTTCGTGTTTTTGTGTGACTTTCGTGCTTAAAATGGTTATTTCAGATCCACCAAAGTCACACAATAACCTAAACAAACTCTCCGATCAAAGCAGAAGTAGATCAATAACTCCTGGGAGATCAAATGTATGTCTGGTGTCTTTGAAGAGAGTGCAGGTAACTGCTGCATGAACATATTCTAAATGTAGCATGCTCTTAAACTGATCTTTTGTGGTATCTAAAATACGTCCACATTGCTTCACTTCCTGCTGGTTCTCCAGTCTGTTTCTTGTCAACATGTCCGTGTTCAAAGCTACTTTTAGGAACCTTGATCTTGTCTATTTCAATCATGATAGGTGAAGGAGGCTTTGTTTTCAATGTTAATCCAGTTACAGGAAAAGCATGAAGACCAGGGGTTTGCAAAACCAAAACCAACTTTATCAAACAAAATCTTTAGTCTAGGTTTAATCAGGAATACTTCTAGAAGCATTTTAGTCTTATTCATGCAAACTAAATGGTGTAATTTGACTTTTCTGTCAATTTGTAGCTGTATTAAATGCAAAAAAGTGTACACAAATGTGGATTTCTGACTAGGAAGTGAAAACTACCTAATTATACAACAGAAATTAACAAAATAACACAACAACAAATACATTTTCTGTTGACTATATGCAACAGGGATTTATTCATTTTTATTTAATAATCATTTGGGATATCTCCATAAGAAACAACATTTATTTTGATGCATTTTTATTTTTGACCCAGGAAAATGTGTATCTATTAGGGATGTAACGATACCAAAAACTCACGGTATAATAATATCGCGATAACAAGTCCACGGTACGGTATTTATCGCGATATTGAAAAAAGAAAAGAAAATAATTTTTTTAAATTTTTAAATTAATTAATTTTTTACTTGAAAACATTTTCTTTATTAAATAATACATCTGATTTGAACAGCATTTTTGTAGGATAGTAGTATTTTAAAGTGTCAAAAACAAAGTGACAGTAACAGACTGGAACACATGAGGAGACATGTGTAAATATGTATATATATTTAGTTTAATTAGAGGCGAGGGTGCTTTATTGACAGGATTTTATTATTATTAGTTTAAATGCAGTTTTTAACTAAGGCACTAATCTGCTTCCATATAAAGGAAATAACATTTAAGTGCAAAGCAAATACAAATCTGATAGGTGATATTTTTCAGCACAAATGATGGGCTACAGTCTTTAAGAGATACATGGTTCTATGAATATTAAATATATATTTAAAGATAAGATGCCAGGTTAAAACCTTTATGGATAATGTACAGCAGGGGTTTCCAAACTACGGCCCGCAGACCTTTTTGAATCGGCCTTCAGCAAATTAAAAAAGTATAATGACTTAAGTATAATAAACTTCTGCTTGTGTTATATTGTACTTCTTAAATATATATGTTCAAATATATTAGGCAGTAGTCATGTGTTAATAAGAGCCCAATTTTCTAATAAATTCAGTCAATTAGATTTGTTAGATCATGTTTTCAACTTTAAGTTGAAAAACCCCCCCCCAATAACACATGTCCACAACAAGCTTGAAAATCTACCCTCATATTTTCTTCCAGACCTTCGTATATCTTTCTGTATGTAGCCCTCGGTGAAAAAAGTTTGGACACCCCTGATGTACAGGGTTTAAGGAATATTAGGGTTGAATACAGATTAAATAAATATGAATACAGTGTCATAAGAATACTTGATAAATCCTGAATGTCCTCTTCCAGTATGAGAGTAACATGATAACAAAGGTATCAACTGTAGCTGTGAACATGACAGGATGTGTGATGACCTAGAAGAGCATCAGGACTGTTTGAGGCAGATGATAGCTATGTGATTAACATGATGATTCAGCCTCTATGGAGAGAGACATCAAGCATGCTCATTTCTGACGTGGAGCTAATCTGAAGTAAACATTGAATACTGCTTTCTATTCCTCCACCTTGTGACTGTGTAACTCCCTCTCTTGGATATCAGCATGTGAAGGACACTGTTCAGGAACTAGTTGATGCTCTGTATGTGATGACTACTTCCATTCTGAAGAGGATCACAGATACATGGATCCTGAGGTTGAAGCTCAAGCCGGGGACCAGGGAGATTTTTCCTAAGAAATATTATGTAAATATATCTGCTTCAGATTGTGCCGAGGCCCAGGAGCAGCGTC